CAATGGAATCAATGTAATCAATGGAATCAATGGAATCAATGGAATCAACAGAATCACATAGAATCAGTAGAATCACGGAATCACGGAATCAGCTTTTCCCCCCCTTGGATCTGGTACTATTCATTAGCTGACAGGTAACGAGCTATTTACTATTGTCCAGTTACTCGAAGATTCTCAGTTTTCTTAATCTTAAAAAAAGGTCTATTTCATTCGAATTATTACTTTTAACAAAGGGTGTTGACATTAAAGAATCTATGTGCGTCAGTTAGGTCTTGAATCGATGAGATTTCATAAAGGTTTTCTCTATCCCAATAAGCGTGCATCGTAATCTTCGAGTCATTTATCATGCCGTGATTCATCGATACAGATTAGTTTTAAAAGTCTCATGATTTCTATGTACTACATACAACGAAGAGAAGATCGTGGCGATTTAGTGCTTATATCTTTAGATTTCGCCCATGATTTTTATAATGTTCAAGCGATGAGAATCTGTTTGCATCTATTGGCCATTGATGTTCGATTTGTTTTGGTTTCATTCACGTTCTTCACTATTTATTTAAATAGTTTATTGCCTATAATACCGCAAGACAAGGAATGAACAGAAAAATGTTCATTTCAATGTAATTTCATCAGCCATGTCATACTTTTACATCTTTCTGGGACGCACAGAAGTTGTTTCTATCACTGATGATCAGTCATCTGAAATGTTATCATATAAATTCACAGCACGAAGTGCATCACTTTTTCAAATATCTCTCAACTGTTGAATTCGAAGTCCGATATTTTACGAAGAATAGGCGAAAGCTTACTGTAGTTAGGAGTTGTTTTTCAATAAATAAAAGAAAATCATAAATTGTTTTTAAAAATAATATGTAACATTTATACTATTTTATTATTATAGTTTCTTAATTTTATCATTGTAATTTATGTTGGTTTTAAAAAATCGATTCATTTTATCTAGCTACCGCGAGATCCCAATAGAACTTTTCGCTTAACTGATCATAGAAGTTTGCATTAGTCGAAACGTCAATATGCACGAAAAATAAACATTGAAAACTAATAGATATCTCATGGGAAAACTATGAAATTCATAGTAATCTGATGCGAACAAATTCTTCACAAAATTTCCTTTCATTTGTTGTAAATTGTTTTTAGATCTTGGTTATTATATTCATGAAGACTTCGGAAAGGCTGTACCATATAGAGAAATTTTTTCATGAAAAATGTCACAATAATGTCGAGTCTACAGAAATGATCAAAATCATCAATCATATCAGATCGATTGTTGAATTCTTTTCGAAAACAAAAATCTATGATGTAAAAGTAGTTCAATCACTAGAAAATATATATTGTATTAATATTCAGACTGAAAGTTCATCTCCATAATGTATTTAATATCGTAGGAAAAAAAACTGTCGAGCATATATATTATATGAATATATATACTAGTGACGGATACACACACGCGCACACACACAAATATATAAAGAAACATGTACACGAAAGTCTTAATATTGTCAAGATTCCATCATTGAAAATCGAGCACGCGCAACTTTTCGTACAACATCTTTATATGAATCTCCTGGTTCAGCATTATATTTCAGTCGTTGATCAGCCCCAAGACCAAGTCCTCTTTGTCTGTGTTCAGCCTAGAAAAAAATATATATATATATATATTTCTGATCATTGCCTTTTCTGTATGACTACATACTTCAACAGGATTAGATCGCCCTTGTAGTTTTTTTCCTAAACCTTGACCTTCTTGCCAGCCATGTTTTTTCATTAGTTTTGAGCCAATACCATCTGATAATGATGATTGGTCTAGAAAATAAAATTTGACATTAAGAAAAAATGAACATGAAAATCATGGCAATTTACTTTGAGATGGCATTCGACGTGAACTTGTTGAATATGATCGTTCATGAATAGGAGAATAATCATTTCTTTGTTTAGTTGAATCATCGGGCCCGTATGCTTGTCGACGTTCTTTTGCACGATCCCGATAAACAAGCTATAGAAAATAATTTAAATAAGTCCGATATAACTTAGCATATCAATACATACTGGCTGTGATCGAACAATACCCGCTTTTGCTAAATTTTCCTATAGAAACAACTATTTTATTTAAAACAAAAACTAAATTTTGACATGTTACTTTGTGGAGATTTGACATTTGTAAATGTTTTTCAAGTATTTCACGTGTATCGAATTGTCGTTGACATAGAAGACATGCCAATTTATTCCAATCGACTAATTTTTCTTCGCTACTATCGAGAATATTGGTACTAGTTGTTGTGGTGGTGGTAGCATTAGTTGCTGTTGAAGATTTCATTGCATTATTATTATCATTATCATCATTATCCGACTCAGGATTCTCAAACGCTGCTAATAGCGCAGGTCGATTCGATGTTGATGTGCTACTGCTACTATTCGATGACATTAAATTAAGTGATATTAAACCACCCGTTGGTCGATTCGATGGAAGACCAACTTCAGCAAAGGATGCTGATACTGCGCTAGTTGACAAATTCATAGATGTAGTATCATTATTACTTGTTGTTGTTGTTGCTGTTGTTATAGCAGCGGCAGCTACTGCTGCTACTTGAGCTTTACGTTTAGTTTCCTTTTCTTTTCTTTCGCGTTCTTTTTTAGCCCATTGTTCCATTTCCTATTAAAAAGTAAATAAATTATTCATTGAAACACACAAAGTATCGAGACATACTTTGGCAACTTTTTGAGCATTTTTTACTTTATCAGTTTTATCTTTGGGTTCCGTTGACGTTGTAGTATTCGTAATTTCAGTTGTAACGGCTGGCGCTACTGTATCTTCAACGGGTATATAATTTAATTTAGCTGGATCCCAATACATATATTTTAGTGTTGTTGGATTATAGAAATACGATGATTTCGCATCGAAATAGAATCCTGTTGTTTTATCAAAATGAAAACCGACATCAGGATACCATTCAAATTTTGATGGATCTGGTGTTGAATACGGTTCCGCATCTCGTCCATCCTTTGTGGAACAATGCCGTTTTTTATGATGATTGGACGATGAATCACTTGAGTAATCACTACTGGAATGATTTCGACGACGTTGTGGACGTGTATAATCACGTTGTTTCTGAGCATGAATATTTTGTAATGCATGTTGAGCTATTTCAGCTGCAGTATTTGTTCGATCGACTAAATAAGAACAAATATATACATATCGGCATCGGATATTCGTTTTTTTTACCATTATTTGATGGAAGTAATTGCGCAACATTTGCCGATCGATCCTGTTGAAAGAAAAAAAATATTAAATCACCGACACAACAAAATCAAATACGAATTTTTACATGATCATGCCGATGACGAGATCGAGATGAATTTGATCTTCTTGAATAAAAATCTTCATCTTCATCCTGAATTTGTGCTAGTCTAAAAGTAAATGAATCATAGAAGAAAAATCAAATCAAAGCAAATGACGAAATAAATTTACGATGTTGCAAAATTATTTTTTGAAAAGTGAACTATAACAGCTTTGCCTTCAATTTCTACTCCCGGCGTAGTTGTTTGTAATTTTTCATATACTAATACAGAGTCCTTAAAATAAAATAATCACGAAATATTATTTTTGTTGTTGTTTCAATAAATCCAAAACTATGAGATATACATGAATCGTATTATATTCAACAAATGCAAAGCCACGTGAAACACCGGTATAATTATCTTTAACAATTGCAGAATTTTTCATTTGAACTAATGTTAATTCCAACAGTTTAGTTTCAATTGTTTCTTTAGATGTTAAAATATCTAAACCACGTAGTACCAAGGCTGAAAAATTTTTTAAATAATTTGTTTTTCATCGTTAATAAAAACAAATAGACGAGTTATGTTTCTTACTATTGCATGGATTTAATCCAACAAATGAAAATCCATCAAGATCTCGCGTTCGTTCCGAGTCTATAAATGCCAGAAAAACGATTTTTTTATATTTAATTCTCATAATAAATATTTGTCTTTTTTGTTTTCTTCATTTGATTTGGTATATTATAAATATATATACACATTATTCTTTCCCACATACCTTCACGCGATATATGACAATTAAAACAATGATCACGTCGTTTAAAATTTTGTACACCACACTAAAAACAAAAAGTAAATTTAATAATGAATTTTCTGTGGTTTTGCTAAAAATTTACTTTATAACAATCCCAATCACGAAGACGTAATTCATTAGTATTGTTACGTTGATAATCTCGATGATTTGTAGTATTGTTGTTGATGTTATGGATCGTTGATGAATCGTCGTCGAAGCGATGGGTCAGTGTAACAAGATGGTCGTTGAGAAGAAATGTACCCTGAATGAAAATCAACAGTAGGGATTGATTCGAGTGTCCAAATAAATTCTCGACGAATATAGTTATATCTGTATATGTATTATATATATATATATACGCTGCCGTCCGTTGGATAAACGACGGCTCTCCCATCAATAGATAGAAACAAGAGTGATGGAATATCTAGGTTTTTGTTTGAACCTGCGTTAAAGTCATCCATTGTTCAGCTTCTTGAACCGTATTGAATTCGATGTAAGCCGTTTGAAGATTTGTCGCTAGAAAAAGAAAATAAGATAAAATGATAGACTATAACAAATTAAAATTTATTTACCTGGATCTCTACGATGAATAATTCGAATTTCTTCTAGTGGTACTTTAGCAATCATTAATTCAGAGAGTAGCTAAAAAGATTTTATTTTAATTAAAATTATTCATGTTTAGATAAATTAATTTTGATACTATCTCATTCTATAGAGAATTCCTTTGTGTATTAAGATTTATCTTTTGATAATTTCCAATGTCACGCAATTGAATACGGAATTAATCTTCCTTTTATATGATACTTAAATGTCAATAATTTGTTTTATTCAACTATTTAGCTATTGATTTTTGACTTTTTTTCCCATAAAAAATTCAATTAAAATCTAATGAACAACTTAATTTGGATAGAATTTAATAGATATTTGTTACAATACATAGGATAACCTTTCGTATTAAGGTCAGTCAGATCGGATGACTCATTCTTTATTTTTCACACTCTATAACAATGATAGCAATCATCGGATGATTATTGTCTGCCGTGAGGGTGTGGAAACATCCTACGCATATTCTATTGATTTTGCACACAAATATCATTTCGCAATGTTACTGTGAACTTTGTACTATAAATATTCTGGAAAAAGAAAAGGAAGCGACTTTCCAATTCATTAGACATTTCTAGAATGATTGTTTGAACACTCGAGTCATTATTTCCAATAAAGAAAAAAAGAAACTTTATAAACCTCGTGTTCATCGTAAGTTAATGGAATGTTATGCATAATGATTGTACTTGTTGTTTTTGGTTCATGTTTTTCAACCTGAAATTAGAAATTAACCTTTAGATTTTTACTCTTAGAAAAAGAAGTTCATTTTACTGATATTCGTCGTTTTCGGTCTCGACTTTTGCTGCGAGTTTGTGAACTATGGCTCGAACTAGCTGATGAATGTCGTCGTCGACGAGTATGACTTGTTTCATTATTTTTATCGGTCTGTTTACGTTTTCGTCTTCGTTCACTTCCACTCGATGACGAACGCGAATGTGATCGATGATGTTTAGATTTTGATTTAGTACTTGATTTATGGCGACTGCGATGATCAGAATCAGAATCCGACTCAATCGGATCTAGTGGATGTCGATGACGACGTTGGCGAGAACTTCCGCCTTGATTATGGCGAGATTTCTTTTCTTCTGAACTTGACCTTAATTATTTATCATGAAGGTTAATTTAAAAAAAAAACTTTGTTTTGTTTTCGGTTTACCTTCGAGAATTTTCATAAAGAAATGATGAAATACGTTCTTGTTCGGCACGAGTTTTAAATGAATGACCTGATGCCATATCACCTGGACTTGAACTAGTTTGATGCATGTAATCTCAATCAGTCAGGCAAAAAAAAACTAAATGAATGTGTGACGCAAAAGACAATGTGCAATAAATAACTAAACAAATCAACATATCATACGATTGGTAAATTATTTATTAGAAAATTTATTTTAAAAAAATTATTTTATATTATTTTTAAATTCAGATCATTTTTCACATCATTTTATTTAGTTCAAATAAATATAAAAGTATGCGTGGCAGCACTATCAACGTTAAAATACAATAGATTGTGGCATAGAGCTTTTTTTTGTCCTTAATCTGGCACCGGATGTATGGAAGAGAAATGGAAAAAAATCCTTGATGATATTCCCTCCCACAGTGTTATGTGATCTTCAGATCTGATCTGCTTTATTCAGAAAGACATCAGTCTCCCACAGCTATTTTTCTAGTATATTCTTTCGTTTAGATAGATCCTACTCACTCTTGAGTAATTGTTTATTGCTTTTTTCCACGATACAACAGAAAACAATGTTGTGTGATTATCTTCTAAGTAAGTTTTTCTTCTCTCTTTTCTTTTCTTTTCTTTACCTTATGGACAAACTATTCTATTCTTCTTTTTTTAGTCTCCTTTTATTGTCATTCCATCTCTAGTCATCAAAACATTCGCGCCATAAAATCTTGATAAGAACATTTAGTACTATGTTTAGTCCGTTGACTTATTCATATATAGCGGATGATGAGTATGATACTCGTAAGTGTTCAATAATCGAAAAACAATAATATTAATTAATTTTTTGTTTTATTTTATTTCAGTTCCTCCGTTACCACCCCAGATGAAAGCACCACCAAAAAAGGCAGTAAGATTATCCTTTTTATTTTCTTCGCTCATACTTATTATTCATCTTAATAACATAACACTTAGGCACATCTATTGGATATACCCACTGGTAACAATCCATGGACTGCTGTATTAAAACAAGCAGAAATGCGACGACGTAAACGTCGACAAACAACACCTGAACATCCACGCCGAGCTTTATTTTGTTTATCACTTGATAATAAATTACGTCGTACATGCATTAAATTAGTTGAATGGAAGTATGTATTGATTTAGTATGCATTTTCAATTTGCATAAGTTTATCTTGTTTTCTATAGACCTTTCGAGTATCTAGTATTGTTTACAATTTTTTGCAATTGTGCAGCTTTAGCTCTTAGTAAACCATTACCAAATAATGATACAACTCCAACAAATTCGATTCTAGTAATTAGATAAGCATTATTATTATTCCGACATAATTAAATTATCTTTTAGGAACAAATTGAATATATTTTTTTGGCAATATTTACACTTGAGGTTATATTAAAAATTATTGCATATGGTTTATGTCTGCATCCAAATGCCTATTTAAGAAGTGGATGGAATTTACTTGATTTTATTATTGTTGTTGTCGGGTATGATGATTTAATATTATTTTGAACGGAAAATAAAATCTATTTCAATATCCTATAGATTTTTGAGTGTAATCTTGGTTCAATATAATGTACAAGGTTTTGATGTTAAATCATTACGAGCATTTCGTGTGATTCGACCGTTAAAACTTGTTAATGGTGTACCAAGTAAATATAAATCATGTTAACCTTTTCGTGTCCGTATTGATATTAGTTAGTGTAACTGTGTTTGGTTGTGTAAATGTATTGTTTATTATTATTTGGTAAGAGTAATATTATTCCATGCCTACTGTGAAATGTTTTTATTAATAACAAAACAAAATTTATCAATGATATTTTATTACGTTTAAGGTTTACAAATTGTATTAAATTCGATATTACGAGCTATGTTGCCACTATTACATATTGCTCTCTTAGTATTATTTGTCATTATTATCTATGCAATTATAGGCTTAGAATTATTCTGTGGTAAAATGCATATGACTTGTTATTATAATGGAACGAGTAAGATCAATTTTGTTTTAATAAAGAAAACTAGAACATCGATTACTTCATTTGATTCTTTAGATATACTACCACGGATGGAGGAAATGAGGCCATGTGGTGACAAAGGTCGAAAATGTCCTGATGGACAAGAATGCAAAGATATTGGTTGGGAAGGTCCATGGTATGGAATTATCAATTTTGATAATTTTGGCCTGGCCATGTTAACAGTATTTCAATGTATAACTATGGAAGGATGGACATCGATACTATATAAAGTATGTATTTAGTCAGATTTACTTGATGGAAACAAATAGGAAATATAAAGCGAGCATATTACATGACTGTTGATCTTGAAAAGGTCAATTTATGTGACTCCTGAAATAGACGCATGAGGAAAAAAATGTTGAATTTATATACGGAAATATTAAAAGTCTTTTTTTAACTCGGCCTCGATACTTTTCCTGTAGAATGAATGAATATTAATAAGTTACCTCGATAACGCTCGTTTAATATAAACATAAAAGGCGACATGCATATATATATATATATATATATATACATATAATTAAATTTTCTATTTAATTAAGTTCGTTTGATGAAAAGCGAAATATGGCGAAATTTAAAAAATAAAGAATAATTCTATTATTCTGTTTAGATGAATGATGCTATTGGGCGTGATTGGGCATGGATTTATTTTGTATCATTAATAATAATCGGATCATTTTTTGTAATGAATCTTGTATTGGGTGTTCTAAGCGGGTAATGTTAAATAGTATAGAGTAATTTTTATCATATGTTTTTATTTCTAGTGAATTCTCTAAAGAGAGAGAAAAAGCAAAACAACGAGGTGATTTTCAAAAATTAAGAGAAATTCAAATAATCGATGAATCATTTCGAAATTACATGGCATGGATAAGAAAAGCTGGTAAAATTACTACGGAATATAACAATTTCATTCTCTTATTTTTGTTTTCTTTTCTTTTTCTGAAGAAATTGGTGATGATACAAATGATATCATACAAAATGATAGTCAGCATTTTTTTATTTATAAACTTTTTATACTGTTGTTGTTCGTTTAGACACTCTTGATGCATCAGGTGAACCAGTAAAAAAACGAAGAAATTTTGAATCACATTGCGGATGGCTTTGTACAAAATTGTATGTATATTCAATTAAAGAATTCATTTATTTTTTTTCTTCTAATCACTGATATATTTTTATTTAGACGTTATTTTCGAATTTTTCATGCGTATACTCGACGTCGTATTCATGCTATAGTTAAATCTCAAGCATTCTATTGGATTGTTATTGTACTTGTATTAATGAATACAGGTGTATTAGCAAGTGAATATTATGGACAGCCAGAGTGGCTCACACAGACACAAGGTATTAGAGTGCAAATTTTCTGTTTCTTTGTTGTTACTGTTGTCTATTGAAAGAGATTTAGAAATAACTGCAAAAATTCAGTATGATTAAGTTTCGTTACGTTTTTGCCCGGATATGACGTACGACTATTGAGCATCTTGGTTAGCTTGTATGAGTAGGAGTTCTTTGTTTGCTAATCTATTTTTGTAGTTATGAGAATAGTCAAGGGTCTTCGTAGACAAATGACAATGAATTGAGTAAGTGTATGGAGAATCGATAATGACTATTGATGTCTTAGACTTGATGGAATGTATAGTAGTGCTTGAATCATACACGCAATAAAGTATATCTAATCTCAAGGGTCGAAAATTTCTATGAAAGACAAAAGTCAGTAATGTATTGAAAGACTCAAGTTATTAATTAAGAAAGAGATAGATGAAGATCACGTAAAACATGATGCAATTGTTATTCACTATCAGGTTTAGCACTTCATGACTTCAAGCTATTTAGCTTATGAACGAGAAAATGACTGGAGAGGGACAACTTGTCCCGCTCACAAAAACAAATGTCAATCATTTGCTCCGTAGAGTTAAAGTGAATATTAAACGATGTTTAAAAATTGTGATATCAAATAATGTTCTATAGAGTCGAACATCTAGAAAATAGTTTATTGAGATTCTAACAATTTTTTAAATTTATTTTCTTAGAAATCGCAAATCGATTATTCGTGTATCTGTTCTCATTTGAAATGCTTCTTAAAATGTATTCACTTGGTATAACTGGCTATTTTGTATCAAATTTTAATCGTTTTGATTGTTTTGTTGTTATCGCATCAATTATTGAATTTGTGCTTATTTACATTGAATTTATGCCAGCATTAGGTATATCGGTGCTTCGTTGTGTACGTCTATTACGTGTATTTAAAGTAACACGGTATTGGATGGCACTAAGAAATCTAGTGGCATCTTTACTTAATTCAATGAAATCTATAGCATCTTTGCTTTTACTATTATTCTTGTTTATTGTCATATTTGCTCTATTGGGTATGCAAATGTTTGGCGGAAAATTCGATCATATATTTCTAGTCGAAGAAAAGCCAAGAAATAATTTTGATTCGTTTTGGGGAGCACTTATTACTGTTTTTCAGGTAAGAAGAAAATAGATTTAAACAAGGCATTTATTTTAATTAAAAAGTTCTTATTTTAGATTTTAACCGGAGAGGATTGGAATGAAGTATTATATACGGGTATACGTGCGCTCGGTGGCCTTGGCCTAGTTGGTACTGTTGTATGTTTTTATTTTATTATTTTATTTATCTGTGGTAATTATATATTATTGAACGTGTTTTTGGCTAGTAAGTTTTTGTTATGCGTTTTGGAAGAATCAACACGAGTCAAATGTATATATATATATATTTATTTATTTATTTGTCTGATTTCTAGTCGCCGTTGATAATTTGGCTGATGCGGAAAATTTAACAGCCGCTGAAGAGGAAGAACAAAAAAAAAAGGCACAAGCAAAACTAGGCGAAGATGCTAAATTAAATGGAGAAGTGAAAGCAACAGAGTAAGCTGCAGTCATCATTCGTTAAAATTTACCCTTTGAACCAAAACAAATAGAGGTCACATAAATAGTTCAGTTCGATGCCATAATACCGTCGTGACATATTTATCCGTATAAAAAGAAAAGGTTAAGAATGGATAATTTAGCTAATAGAAATTTCCGAACGATGTTCGTTCTGTGTATTTTATTTTTGTCTCAAAGAGTATATTAGACCGGACTGATCTTATTTTGTTTTGTCAAATTCTTTCTGGTGGCTAATGATAAGATGTCACTTTTTATACAAAATGTCAATCATTAAAGAATTATTTTCCGGTCGGAACTTGCCACTTCTGGCTCCGTGAAAAAATTCAGAGCAAAGCAATTTGCTAAACTTGACATTGTTTTTTTTTTCAAATGAAAGTTTAAAAAGTATCTTAATTAGACTGATAAGCAAATGAAAATGTGATCGAATGTGGAATCTCTCACGTTATTATATTTTTTTTAATCGATGTGCTACGTTCAAGGTGTTAGTGTTCTAGTTCAATTGTCTCTTCTATTAATGAGCACAACAACCAAATACCTATCTAGGTCTTGTACTGTTTTAAAATAAACATTCAACAAGTTGCTTGATTAAATATTTAAGAGCATTTTTTATTCAAACACTAAAAGTCTATGAAATAATCGAGAGCGACTAAATTATATTAGATACTGGCAATAGTAATGCAATAAACTACTGAGTACATTCGGCATGGATAAATGGCCCCAATCTAAAATCGATATGCAGAAAGATGGAAATTGAAATAATCGTTTATTATAATCTTGCTTTATTTTTTAGAACTGTTGAAGAACAAGTTAATATTGGTAATTTTTGTTTTATGTTTGACGTTGATGAAGATAATTGTGATTGTTTAGATGAAAAATTAAATGAAGAAAATCGCGTTGAAGAAAATGAAACAAAACCAGAAGAAAACGATAATGAAATCGAAGAAGATGGCTTGAACGAAAATGAAATTAATGAACCAGAAGATGAAGAACAACAAACAGCCAGGTTTCTATTTAATATTTTCGAACGACACGAAATAAACATTGATTTGATTTAGACCTCGGCGTGTATCGGAATTGAATATTGTTGAAAAAGTAAAACCGATTCCACCCTATTCATCACTATATCTATTTAAAACTACCAATAAGTAAGAAAAAAAATTATTTTTTGAATCCTATGTTCATTAAAAACAACCTTTAGATTTCGTATATTTTGCCATCGTATTTGTAATCATCGAACATTTGGATATGTTGTACTTGCGTGTATTTTATTTTCAAGTATTTCACTTGGTGCAGAAGATCCGATTGATTCATATTCATTACGAAATAAGGTTTAATCAAAGATGAATTCCAGATGACATACGTACATGTTTGTTTTTCTACCTTATAGGCTCTCAATAAGGCTGATTATTTTTTTGCAATTGTTTTTATCGTTGAAATCTTTCTCAAAGTAAAGTCTAAAAGAAGACTCGAATATTTGATTAGATTAATTGAGTCTATTTATAGGTTGTTTCATATGGTTTAATCTTGCATCCAGGCTCATTTTGTCGTAATCGGTTTAATATTCTCGATCTTGTTGTCGTGTCAGTTTCATTAACTTCAATGGTAATAAAAGATCGCGCAATGTCTGTAGTTAAAATTCTTCGAGTGCTTCGCGTACTTCGTCCACTACGTGCTATTAATCGTGCAAAGGGTCTTAAAGTATGTTTGAATTAGAACGAAATTAGTTTCTAAAAGAAAAATATTCACTTTAAGCATGTTGTTCAATGTGTTGTTGTTGCGATAAAGACTATTGGGAATATAATGCTTGTAACATTTCTTTTACAATTTATGTTTGCTTGTATGGGAGTACAGCTTTTTAAAGTAAAAATTTTCTTTTCTTATTGCTAATGATGGTTTAAAATTTAAAACCATTATGCTTTTCTTTAAGGGAACTTTCTATTCATGTACGGATAAATCTATGTTAAATAAAGAAGACTGCAGGTAGGAAAATATTTATTTGATTGATTCGGTTTGGTTTTTTACTAAGCCCTTTTTTCGTCTAGGGGCTATTATTTAAAAATTACAGACAATCAAATTTATAGAGAAGCTAGAGAATGGTCAAATTCAAAATTTCATTTTGATAATGTACCGCAAGCTTTATTAACATTATTTACTGTTGCAACATTTGAAGGATGGCCAACGTATGTATGATAGAAACTCATCAATCAGAAAGTAAAAAATCACTAGTGGATTGTTTTCCCGCTTGTGTTCTCTTATGTCATTTTTCTTAATTTAACACTATTGTTGAATCTCCAGGTAAATACGCCTACGCTATGTTTCAATATACATCGATAAGTTCATAATCGCTGATATTGATTATTTCTGAAAAAGACATTATATATTCACAAACATATTCCGAATTTCAAGGAAGACTATCAAATGTAACATAACCATCGAGATCTTGTTTTTTTATACGTTTATAAATAAACAAACACGAATAATATTCATTAAGAGCGAATAATTCCTACTGAATATTTTTATAAAGTTGCTTTACTTTTAAATTATATATAAGTATAAGTCGTAAGATAAACTCTATTCGAGCGGCTAATAAGCGACGGCAAACAATTTTTATTGGTTAATATGACATTATTATTCCCGCTAGTGTTTTATAGCTCCCCGAGAGATGAAATTAAGCTTAATCAAAATACATGTGTCATTAACCTTGAGTTTTCATCGACTTCAAGCGTGAATTTCATGTTTTTCGAAAGTTTTTCTCTGGAAATCATTTTATAAAATTTCAACTCAATATTAGAGAATAGATGTAGATCAACACAAAAAGATAATTACTAACGATGAGTGCACGTGACTGTTGTCCTAGACACAAGAAGAGAACACTTCGAAAACTTAGCAAAGGATCTTGAATTTATTTTCTGTGATTGATATTTGAGAAGATTGTATATGACGTTCGAATGTCTAGAAGTATTGGTGATTGATTCGATTTTTCATTGGTCTGAAAGGATAACTTGAATAATGTTATATATTTTAGTCTTTTACATACGGCGATTGATTCCAAAGGTGAAGGTGAAGGACCAATTTATAATTATCGACCATTTGTGGCTCCATTTTTTGTTGCATTCATTATTGTAATTATTATTTTCGTTCTGATCTATTTTTTGAACAAGTTTTTATTTCTCTAGGTCATTGCATTTTTTATGGTCAACATATTCGTCGGTTTCGTCATCGTTACATTTCAAAATGAAGGAGAACAAGAATACAAAAATTGTGAATTGGATAAAAACCAAGTAAGATTATTGTACTAATCGGAAAACAAACAAGAGTAGCCTTGACTATTCGATCGATTATGATAAATCTAAGAGATGGGTTCCTTCAATATTTGTCGAGTAGCGATAAATCATGTGACGGAATTTCTAGTCTTATTACGATCTTCTCATGGATTGAAAATGAGTGCAAACGGAGCGTTACAGCTTGATTCGTTTTATTTTTATTAACAAAAAATAAAATATTCTGATTTTTTAGCGTAAATGTATTGAATTTGCTCTAAAAGCGCGGCCCATAAAACGTTATATACCAGTTAAAAAAGTTCAACTGAAAATCTGGTGGTTTGTAACATCACCACCATTTGAATATACTATATTTTCATTAATCATGATCAATACAGTTGTACTCGCTATGAAAGTATGTGTTAGATTTCGAAATAAAATCAGTACGAGTAAAAATTCACGATTTGTTTTTCTAGTACAATAAACAACCTGACAATTATTCGAAAGCTCTTGACTATTTGAACATCGTATTCACAGCTATATTTGCTCTTGAATTTCTTCTTAAAATGGCTGCATTCCATTTCAGGGTACGACGAAATTAAAAATGAAATTTTCATAAAACAAAAAAAAAACATTTTTCTTTCTTCTTTAGAACTATTTTAGTGATCCATCCAATTGCTGTGATTTTATTATTGTTGTTGGCAGTTTAATTGACATTCTTTATACGGATATCATAGCAGTAAGTGAAATTTATTTGAAAACTAGTACAGAAAAAAAATTTAATATAATAACTCAAATTGCTGATGCTATTTTGTGAGACGTGTTTTGCATTATCTCGTATTTATGCATTTGCATATGTCGTTCATGTGTCATTTTATTCTAATAGATTCACATTGGTCGTTTTCATGCTTTTAAATTAGCATTATTGTTATTTTAAATTTTCTTTTTCTTTTTTTCAAAATAGCGAGTTTGGAAGTCGCATCAGGTATTGCATATTGTTGTTCTGTCGTAGCCTTAATACATATTTCTATATAAATTCATGTAATGATATAATCGGTTTCATGTTGTCCAATAGATTCTTTTATCATTGGATTTAATCATGAATTTTAAATCATTATTAGTTTTCTGAATGATTTATTTGTATTCAAATCTGTTGTCGAATGTTTGTTTTGATTATTTTTTTTCATTTTATATTTCATAGCCTGGTACCAATGTTATCAGTATAAATTTCTTTCGTTTATTTCGTGTTATGCGTTTGGTAAAAGTATTAAGTCGTGGAGAAGGTATTCGAACATTACTATGGACATTCATTAAATCATTTCAAGTAAGTCGCAGCGTTTTGTTTTTCTTCTAAATATGCATTCGATGTTCATGATATTTGTATATTAGGCATTACCTTATGTTGCTCTACTCATTGCAATGTTGTTTTTCATTTATGCCGTCATTGGCATGCAGGTATGAATCGGCGGCCATAGTAACTAAGACTTCTATGTTGATTCTACATTCCGATTGACTAGTTATGAGCCGATTTCATGAGAAAAATTTTTTTTTTAAAATTTATCATGCAGAAGTAAATAACATACTTGATAAAGTAAAATGTTTCATTGATCAATGAACCTATTCCGCAGTTTAAATTTTCAATCTTAATCGAGAAGAAGAAAATATCCACCAGAACTATATTTCGAGTTTAGTTGCTCAATGTTGATAAAATCTTGTGATTTTGTTTTTCTAAATTTATTTAAATTTAGATGTTTGGCAAAATAGCTTTGGAAGAAAATACAGCCATCAATATTAACAATAATTTTCAAACATTTTTCAATTCCTTACTTGTTCTTTTCCGGTAATAGAAAAAAAAACAATAACTGCTGGGCGCATCTTCTATTTTATGATTTGAAATTTTTGTTTTATTTTGAAAAATAGTTCGGCAACAGGTGAAGGATGGCAAGAAATCATGTATGCTTGTGGGCCTAGTGCCAATCCTAAATGTGATACTCGATCACGATCATTTAACAATGAAAGTTGTGGAAGTTATTTTGCAATACCCTATTTTCTATCATTCTATATATTATGCTCATTTCTGGTAGGATTTGATCATTTTTCTTTAAGAAAAACAAAAACAAAAATTTCTCTTAAATAAGATTATCAACCTATTTGTTGCCGTTATAATGGATAATTTCGATTATTTAACACGTGATTGGTCTATACTTGGTCCTCATCATCTCGATGAATTTGTTCGTCTTTGGTCCGAGTATGATCCTGAAGCCAAGTATGAAAAGCAGCTTTTTTTCTTCTTCTATTATTTTATTTAAAATTAATATAAAACTTCTAACAGAGGACGTATAAAGCATCTCGAAGTAGTTAATTTACTTCGAAGTATCACACCACCGTTAGGGTTCGGAAAATTCTGCCCTCATCGGACGGCGTGCAAGGTACTTTTTTTTGATTGTTTAGTTATTGTTTGCATATATGTAAATATGTATATGTATATATACGTTAAATACCTGTTCAAAGTTGTTATATCCCATTTTTTTTACTCCACAATATCGTATCTTATTTTCATTTTTGTGCTCAATATGGTGTATTCTATGTGCTTTTGTTGTTGTTTCATTAAGAGGACGTATCAAACACCTCGATGTTATCACATTATTGAGAAAAATTTCACCACCACTCGGTTTCGGCAAACTCTGCCCGCATAGAAGGGCTTGTAAGGTACTGGTATAGTTTTTGTCTTGTGCATATAATTAACAAACTTCATTAGTTATCAATAAGTCATTCAAGAAAATACTTGAGGACATTACAACTTAATACGAAAAATAGATATCTGTTTAGAAGAGTTTCAGCAGCTCTTTATTAAAAGTTTTCAAAAGCATGATTAGTTTCGTTGGTGAGCATGAGTGTATACAGCAAATCGATATTTTCTTGATTGTTACTATTGGAAATAAATGAATATAATTGATAACCGATGAAACATTTATTATCATATTAGTCTGTCAGTGCGTATGAATAATTTGCTTCTAAATTTAAATATTTTTTTTGATTAAAACTGCTTGATTTTCATTAGAAATTGGTTTCTATGAATATGCCATTGAATCAAGATGGAACTGTGATGTTTAATGCGACACTTTTTGCTTTAATTCGAACATCGTTAAAAATCAAAACCGACGGAAATATTGATCAAGCCAATGAAGAGCTACGTGCTGTTATAAGAAAAATTTGGAAACGAACACCACAAAAATTACTTGATCAAATCATTCCACCACCGGGCTCAGAAGATGATGTTACAGTGGGAAAATTTTATGCCACATTTCTTATTCAAGATTATTTTCGGCGTTTCAAAAAACGTAAAGAACAAGCAGCGAAACAAATTCAATTAGGTTTTTCAGGCGCAAGTAAAAATTCTGTTGCACTACAAGCCGGTCTACGACAATTACATGATTTGGGACCTGAAATAAGACGAGCTATTTCAGGTGATCTAGACGATGAAGAAACATTTAATCGATTTTGGCGTGAAGAAGAACCACAACATCGTGTATGTTGAATTTATTTTAAAAACAAAATTTCTTCTTACAAAATTTTCATTCCTTTAGCGAGATCATTCATTATTCGGTACCATGCTTGATGCATTTACACGTGCTATACGAAAACCGCAGACAGCCATGGGTTATCTAACGGAATATAGAATGGCTCAAGTATCGCCACCTGGTACTCGTCTTCGACGTGAACCAGATGGACCTGTATCAATCAGTAGTTCCACAAATTATCATATGCCATCACCGTTTCGAGTCGGGTATGAACGCGAATTTGTTCATTTTGTTTTTATGATTAAGTTTTGCTGTTTTTAGAGCTATATCAGCTGATCGACGTGGAATCGAGCCTGATCATTATGTATTTCAAGTACCTGAACATGAAGAAGGTCCGTTAGGACCATTAAGATTAACTGATCGCCGTGGAAATATTCGAAAAGAAAATAGTATTTACTTTCGTCAGCCCACTCAAACATCAGATAATAACAGTCCAAACATTGATGAACTCTTACCAAGACGTCGTCGTCATTCTGTATTAGCACGTCTATTTGCGCGACGTAAAAAAGATAGTCAAGAATCATCGCTAGTCAAAGGATCAACTAGTACTGATGAATCCAATACACCTAAAACATCCGTAAAATAGATTATTATATTGAATTCATAATTTTATTTATTTTTCTTCTAGACGATCAATCGTGGACTACTGGTTGAAAATGGTGATACAGTACGAAGTAAGTTTTCCATGTAGATTAACTTTCAAAATTTATCTGATCGATTTAATTTCGATTGCTCGCTTTAATCGCCACCTAGAGAAAATTTAGTTTTTCAATAGAAAAAAGTAATTAATAAAATTTTCCTTTGGTTACGTAGGCTGATAGATCGATTGATTCCCGAAGAAATTAGCTATAGACAAATTATTTACAGCATATTTTGACGATTCACATCGGTATTAACAAAACTCTGTCTGTAAACTATTAATATTTTCTGTCGCAATATTTCCTGTGGGAACACCGAACGAAAATTACTGTTCAATTTCTATTTAATAACGTGATGTTATTTAGACAAAAATATTATGAAAAACTCGGAAACATTTAATTTTCTAGGGAATTCTTTCGGCTATCTCCCATCACAATAAAAACAACCGTCTAATTTCGAGTTCTAAACACCCCAAAGCTTGTTTTGGGTTTTGCTCGTGAGAACCTTGACTCGATAAGTAAATTTCTTTATTGGAATCATTATCTAACTCATCGGTACGGAAAAAGTCGGAATTAAATATGTTTGATCGGGCTGAAGAGCTACTCTATATAACAGTTCATGATTTTTTTCTAAATATTTCCAGCACGAGCAATCAACTTAAGTGGATCGCTGCAACATTCACATATGCCTACACATCCCTCGGGAATATCTACATCGAATGAAAATCAACAGCAAGGTTAATAACAAAAATGCATCTTGCGCTTTTTTTATGAAGACGAAGATTACATTTTATTCTAGATTTTACATCTTATTCAACGCAATCAATATCGAGAGATGATGTCGAAGAATTAGTTAATGCGTATCTTGATACATCGGGTATCGATCGTCGTTATAGTGCAATAATACTAGAAGAATTACGTGATTGTACAAATTTAACGCCTGATCAAATGAGACAAGCTGCACACGAAATAACAACAACGCTTGGTTCGAATTCTCCTCAATATGCATCTTTTGCATCGTCAATATACGATTCAGCTGCTACAGGCGTACCACCACCGGATGAACTACTTTTCGATTCATTGAATCATTTTGCTAACGTGTGATCTATAAATTCCTGTATTTATGTTTATTTTTTGTCTTTGTATAACGGTGCTCATTTTCTTGTCGATTCGCATGATTGTTGTCTTCCAGATATAAACAAATGTATATCCGTCAATTCTATTTCCTTTTAAATGTACAATACTCTATTCCAGATAGATCATAGATATTTTAGACTTACATATTTATTTATTTGTGTTTGTATACGTAACTGCCACCAATCATGTGTTCCAAGAGTTTATTTTTCCTTTTTCTTTTTCTTTTTCTTTTCCTTTTTGTTAACACGAAAAAAAACAAAATAATAGCAAACTTCTTTGACTTCTGTTTTTTTGTTTTGCTGTTCAATTTAATATTATTTCTACATGTTTGTTCTATTTATTTCTTGAATATTTTGTTCTTGTTCGAATAATATAAATGTCATGGAAGATAAATATCTATCCATATAGAAATTAATACTTGCTATCAAATATTTGAATCATGTCATTGATTTAGCATAGACATGATGATCGAATGGTTAGGGTGTTAGACTTACACATTAATGCAATTTTCACGGACCGGTACGATATGAATCATACATTTGAGATGATAATGTAAAATTTTCAGAGAAAAAATTATGAAAACATTATTTTATATCCCATTATGCCTGAAGCAGTATTTTTTTCCACTCCAACGAACTATGAATAAGCCAAAAACATATCTATTAATCATAGTTATTGTTTACCAATAAAGTTAACATTCATTTATCTCTCTATTTTCGCGTATGTATCAAATGTACAATAACAGTTCTCTATCAGTTTAGACAAACAAAAACAGGTGGTGGGTGGTAATGATAGTGTGTCGTTTTTTCTTTCTGCTAGATTATCAGTCCTTCATCATTGGATATTCAGCATGACGACAACACACAGTAAACGGCATCCATAAATATATTTATATAAAAGAGTAGAAAACAGAACGGCAGCCCGATAAAGTGATGACATTTTTGCGACTCGCTAGACCGCTCTCTGTTATAAAAGCAGTGAATAATAAATAGCACAAGATAATAGCTTTTTTTTTCTTTTGTTTTTTTCTTTTCTTGCTTTCTACTTTTCATTCGCTTATAGTTTCTTGTTCTTAACCAATTTGAGATATTATTCGAGTAAAAAAATAACGATCAAGAAAAATCATTTGTGGTTAGAAAAAAAATTCGAATTCCCATAGATCCTTTCGTTCTTCATTTGCCTTCAAACAAGAAAAACAAGCGCACGCGAGAGAAAAGAAATCAATATTAGGCGTAGCTAGACATTTTTGTCACTTGCTGAAAAGACAAGCAAGAAATTATTCATATAGGAACCCGATGTTTTGTAAGTCAATTTATATTTATTTAATAATTTACCCGAGTGAATTTTATCAAAAAATAATGTCATATAACTAGATATGTATGTATAAAAGTATGTATCAGGACAGCATTAATAAAATATTGAATAGTCATGTCGAACGACCTTATCCTTATATTGTGAGAGTTTAGTTTCATAAAAATGTCAATTTTTTTCATTTATTCGTGTGTTGGCCTTCACATTTACTTACATAGATGCGAAACCTTCGTTTTTCTTTTTTTCTAATATTTTATTCAACGTATACTAAGTGTAGGAAGACGGAAAGAGAGAGAGAGAGAGAGAGAAAGTTAAGTCAGGTGATGGCAGCAGCTTGAGTTTCAGTAAATATACAATGAAACGACTTTAATCCATATATATATATATATATATATATATATTACCCTCCTGTTCTATTCACGCCAAGGTATATACGTAGTAAAAACTACTAATCCTTTGTGGATGCATTCATATCGTTCTATCATAACAAAAATAACCGCAAAAAGGGTTATGTGAATAACGAGCAGTTCACGGTCTAGCTTTTTTTTTCTTCTTCTGTTCTTTCATTTTCTTATTTCTAACAAAGACGATTTGGTTTGTTATTGCTCATCTCATCGTATTGAATTATGAAGTAGTCACTTGTATGCATAATGCCCGACGATTTAATATTGACGTAAAGCAGTGATGCAATGAAATATTCTCGTATTATTCTCGGTTACGATCATTTACTAAGTTATCTAAGTCTCAACGCTATTCTATTCAGATATTTTAAATAAATTAATATGAGAACCAGCCGCCGTCGCTGTCGTTTAAATCTATAATATGATACCGGACGTATATTATTTCCTTCTATTATGCTTTCATTTATGTGTCAACATGTTCCTTTTTCTTTGATTTATTTTAATGTTTTGTCCTAAGAATTGGGTGATGACCTCTCTCTCTCTCTCTCAGTCTCATTTGTTCTATTTCTATTTCCTTTTTTAGCAATACAATATTTACTTTAGAGTAAGCAATCATTAACAGTTCTCTTTTGTTTATTAGCATAGCAGGCTTCGTAGATATATATTTATGTCTAGCTATGAGCCGTACTCACTCAATGACTATAGTCTATCAAACTAATCCTATTGATCGATTTGCATCGTCTATACTGGTCATAGCTCATCGGACTTGGTAACTGTTGTGATAGGACGAATGTTTCGTTTTTTTTTTTACGATTGTATATTTGAAAAAAAAGAGAAGAACGAAGAGAGAAGAAGAAGACGAAGACGAAAAAAAACGAACGGAAGAAATCCAAGAAATCAATGTACGTTATTTCCGAGCTGAAGCTGATTCTTTTCTTTCATCGCTTTGCTTTGTTTGCATGTGTATTTTATGAGATGGCAAAGGAAGAGAGATTGAAGAGTAAAAGAGAGAAGAAGAAAAAAAGATGATGAAGGAAGCAAGAAACAAAACCGGCTAGAAAAATGGGTTGCTCACATACACATGCACACCGTTATTGCCCGTAGTCATACTCAACGCATGAGTTTGCTTCAGTAATAGAGAATGATGAGGAGCGACAGAAAAAGAAAAGGAAACAAACAAATACACACAGCGTGTGTGCAAGCCCGTTTGTGTGCCAGCCAAAAAACGCACAGAAGTAGGAACGATTGTCGTGTGCTTGTGCGCGATGATTAGACATGTGTTATCAGCGCACCCGTAACAGAATAAGAGTGCTTCTCTCTTCTCTCTGTTCGTCAAAATAAGACTAGGGATGGCATCAGTAGAGAGGTTGTCGTTGGCATAATCAAACACTATGGTACGATTCCTTCTATTCTCATTCATTTCTCTCTTTTCTCACTATCGTTGCATGTAATTCATACATACTTCTACATATTGGTGTTCATTTACTCATTAATTCTAGACGTTGAATTTTTTTCTTTCTTTCGGCTTTGATTGATGTGATCGATTAAAACAAGATTAAAATTGTATGTGAGTACGTTAGTAACTAATACACAATCGGTGACACAGGATAATGAGTAACGGTCAATATTATCAATCTAATCCGCGTACGATTATACCCGTGACGGTAAATCCAAATGACGACCAACGTTTTATTCGTTTTCGTTCATCAAACGCACCATCAAATGATATCGACAATCGAATGAGCGCACGCATGCGTGAGTTTGAAGAAGAATGTCGACGATGGCGAGAAAATTTTTTCAATGAACCCAGATTTGAATCAAGTGTATTTCCTTCATCATCTTTAGCGCATTCGAGACCAAGAATGCAAGTTGATTTTCCTGATTTTCCAGAATTCGGCAGTATTGATTGGCCAACATTTCGTGGATCTGCACCAGGCTTTAACTCATCAACGGGTGCAGCTCATCGATCCTATATTGAAGAAGATAATGATGGTAAAAAAAAATACAAAATTCAATTTGAAATTGGTAAGCACATCCAAAAAATATTTTTTTATGACCAAAAAAAAATCATATTCGATTATTTGATTTCGCAGGTGAATTTCGACCTGAAGAATTAAATGTAAAAGTCGAAGGTCGTACATTGATTGTAAAAGGTGATCGTCAACTCAAAGCTGGTAATGCAACTGAATCAAAGCAATTCAATCGTGAATTAACATTACCAGAATTTATTGATGTTAAAACTTTACAATCGTATTTATCCGATGATGGCATGCTTACAATGGAAGCACCTGTTATTTTAGATCGTTTCTATAATAATCCAGGTTCATCAGCATTAACATCATCAAATCCAAGCCGTTTCGTTGATACATCATTTATTGGCGGACGGCAACCATTATCGAATTTTGTTCATGGTAATAATCATACAAATTCATATTCGTCAACATCATCAGCATCATCATTTCGACAAGATGCTCCTATTTTACGCGAAACAGGTAGTTTTACGCGAAATAGTCCACTACGTGATCCATATCCATCAACAAGTTCAACATCAACTCTTGTCGGTGGTGGTGGTATTAGTAATAATAATAATCAATCATCGGCTACATTTATATCAACAAAAAACTATTCAACTAATGACCGAAACGATGGCGCAAAAAATGTTACATATACCTTTGATTTAAATCAGTTTGCACCAGAAGATATATCCATACAAGTTAATGATACAATGTTAAAAGTAGCAGCTGTTAAACAGGAACGTGATGGACGAGGTTCTACTCATCGTGAATTTCGACGTGAAATTGGTAAAATTGATTTTCTATGTTTTTTCTCTTTCAGACAATAAACATTCATTTTATAGGTTTGCCCGATGGTGCCGATCCAAAAAATTTAACAAATACGTTGAGCAATGATGGTATTCTTACAATAAATATTCCTGTACGTGACTATCGACCACCCTTAACGCCAACATATCAAACACAACAATTTAATTTACCAACAAATATTAATACAAAGGATTCGTGTGCTGTCGCTGATCAACAACTTAAGCTTACATTTGATCTAAATGGTTATAAACCCGATGATGTCACTGTTAAAGTTAATGACAATGTATTAAAAGGTAAATTTGATTTATTATGATGTTCAATTAAAAGATAAGCTGGCATTCTTCTTTTTTTTGATTTATTAGTTCAAGCTTCTCATGTTGAAAATTCTGGTAGTAATCAAATTAATCGTGAATATATGCGAGAATATGTTTTGCCTGATTGGATCGATGTCGATAATTTACGAGCGAAAATGAGTGAAGATTCAACTCTAACTGTTGAAGCACCTATAACACACGATCGCATACCTGTACTCAATCGTCAAATTAAGATCACGCAATAAAACAAATAGATTACGAACTAGCACTCTTATAATTTTCTCTTTCTCTCTATTTGGCTGCTAGTCAACTCGTTCTTTGTTGTCTTCTATGAATCAGCTGCATTTAGTTCTGGCTGTATCCGTGGTTATTTATAAGTTAGACAAGATTGTGCTATATAGTGTTTATCCTTCCAAAATTATTTTCATTTTTTGATTTATCGTCTAATCGAAAGCATCGTAGTGTCCTTACATTGAACAGTGTTTATTTGCCATACGTTTTTTCCTTGACTTGAATCTTCTTTTGCTTTTTGTTCAATTCTTTTTCTTTTTGCGTTTTTTTCTTGTTCCTATAATGTACCTGGCTGTGCGTCGAAAAAAAGAATCTTTTTCTTTGTTTTGATAATGATTGTTCACTTCTGCATATTTGTATGATTTCGCACAATCTGTTTTATTACACCGGGCGAGGAATGTTTGCTATTGGTACTGTTTGAATCATTGTTTATTAAGCGATACGGACTGTTTTTATTCTCTATACAATAAATTGCCCATTTTATTCTTTAAAATCTTATCGTTTTCTTATCGAAAAATGAATATTGTCGTTGATGCTATCGAAGCGAACACTAATTGGAACAATATATTCATTGGGTTAGATAAAAATTTTTTCCCGTATTATAGACTGTTAAATGAATTTACAGTTTCTGAATCGCAAGAATATTAGATTATAATTATGGCTATATATATATATTTGAGTCTAGCAAAATGTTTTTCACAAAAGAATATCTTATGCATTTATTAAATAAAATCCTATTAGTATTCTATATTCAAACGAAAATAATCAACAAGAGAATTCTTTAACGGAAGAACTATTTCAAAACACCCTTATTCTGATTGAATGAATAATCGACTACAAAATAGGAGCTATCAAAAAATATGCCTTCACGGTAAACTTGCAAATCTGCCTATAGTTTAGTTACGAGCTGTTTAGTTGCGTCAATAAAAAATATGAATAAGCTTTTAAGTTTAAGTTTAAGCTAAATCTAAATATTTAATTTTGAAATCGAAAAGCTCGGTATTATATTTTCAAAAAAATAATCAAACACAATTCAAATGAATTTTATTTTCTCATCGCTTCAAAATTAAACATGTCAAATAAATGAGAGGCACTATAATATGTGTTTTTTTCCCTCTGTGTCAAATCTTATGCAATCAGAATGCAAATTAAAAAAAAGAACTTCGATTTACATAATTTATGATCGAGTGTTGTCCTCTTACATTTTTCCGATCAACACTCTTATTAAAATAGTTAATAGAAGTATTGTTGATTTTAGATGGCATTCATATGATGTTTGAAAATCATCAAATTTCTTTTTAATAAATGTCATAAATAACACCTTCAATGTTGTTCATAAAAAAAGTTAGTATTCATGATTTTCCTTTGAAAATTTTATCAACTTTTTCCTACGGTTGATAGTCATTTAATAAGTCAACATCGAAATAGGAGTCTTTATGATGATTTAGAGCAAATACGCACAGATGTAATGTAACATGATTATAATAAACGAATAATAGTTGTCGATAAACCGCAGTTTCTCTTCCTGTTTCTTTTCACTTTTTGATTTGCTATATTAAATACGCTAATGCTCACGTTTTTACTCATTCGATAATAATATACTGTTTGATTTAATGATGATGGATATAGACAAGGACTAGCCGTATTTAACTTATTAAACAGAGAAAATGAAATGATGTTAAGGACACTATTTATGTTTTCAACATTTTGTGATAAAAACACAGTGAACACAACAATAACAAAAAAAATCAGACGGGCAAAGACGGTTTACATGTACGTTTGAAGACGTTCTTTAGATGTAAGCATGACGTATACAGATGAGGCTGCTACGCCATATAAACTTCCTCGTAGAGCACCTTTCAAACCAGCTGTTGATCGATAAAGTAAGCCAGTAAGGCCTCCACTTGCAACGGTATTCAATTCATCGTCCACACCACGTACCCAGCTAACACCTGTACCGATTAAACTGTAAATAAGAGCTAGAACGAAATAGAAAAATTGGATTACAAAAGCATTCTTCATCCATCGATGAACAATTACCTATTGAACCCATAGCAGAAGAAGTTGTAGCACCTTGACGTGCAACATAATTAATAATCCTAAGAAAAATCAAACATCATGACATCAGCAAAAAAAATTACAATTCTTAACATACGATGAAGTTCGTACTGATCCAATTAAATCGCGTGTTTCAGTAATACCTCGATAAAGTCCTGTTACACTACCAATCATACTGCCTAGAAAAAGAACTCTCTAATATCACTTAATCCTGTTTACTGTCTTTTTTTGTATACCTGCAATCACAGAACCACCAATTGTAAAGAACATTAGTTCAAGTCGACCACGTTTTTCTTTTTGTCCTTCTGGCAGGATAAACTGCGAACCACCCTAAAATCATCTTACACGTGATTTCTAATCCACCATTAAACATATTGACTCACTGGATTTAAAACTCGCGGATCAAAATTCAAATAGGGCGACAAGGAATTCATTCCAGGCGTTGAATGAACTAATAAAATCAAGAAAAAAAAATTAATACGATAGAATCTCTTTATTATCTAACAAAAATTTACCAGGCACATTAGCCATCGATTCATTCGAACTATAATTTCCGAATAGACTAAAACCACGTTTACTTGAATCATTCGAATCCATTATTCTTCTAGAAAAACAAACAGTGAATTTTTTACTTTTTACTTTTTATCAATAAATAAATATCTATAATTCATATAAATATTCTTCTTTTTAAACAAACAAACCAGCATACAAAGATTAATATATCCCTGAAATGAACATGAAAGATAGAAAAAAATGCATTGAAAAAAGACAAAACAAAAGACAAACTATCAAATACAGACAACACCTGTCTAAAATATGTTTAACGAAACACTTTTATTTCGTTGTTTTTATCGAATTTTTTTTTTATAGAAAACAGTATCGAAACACATTGTTGAGATCAAATAAAAAGGAAAATTTTATATTAACAAAAAGAAAAAATAAATACAATAAAAATATATCACACAGAAGTAAACAGAGATTGAGAGAAACACAAGAGGTAATGCATGCTAATTGCTGAATTCAGGATTTTCGCCTGTATATTCATTTTCGAGACGATATTGTAATGTACTAAATGATGGACGATCGTCAGGTTGTGGTTCCCAACATTCACGCATTATTGTATAGAGTGAGGATGGACTATTCGGCGGTTGAGGTAAACGATAACCTTGATCGACTTTTCGTAATACTTCCGCATTGGTCATGCCAGGATAGGGTGTACGACCATATGTAACTAATTCTGTTAATAATATACCATAGGACCAAACCTAAATAGATCGGGTATAGAAGAAAAAAAAACTGAAAACATAATAGACATTAGTTACATCGCTTTTAATAGTAAAACGATTGTAAAGTGCAGCTTCAGGTGCAGTCCATTTGATGGGGAATTTCGTGCCTTCTTTTGCTTCGTACATACCACCAGCATATTCCTAGAAAAATAGTAAACTGTGTAATTGAAATAGAATTTTTAAAAATTCTTGCTCCAAATAAATGATTAACTTAAATGTGTCTGACACTGTAATTGACTCTCTGGAGAAACTACATTCCGCATTGATAACGTTGAAAAAACAAAAACATAACATCATACAGAATTTTTCATAAAGAACTTGAACTTTTACATACACAAGTTTAATCACATTTCTAGCGATTGCGAGGAGAAATTCTTGATAAACATTCTCTCTGAACTTTATTGGAGATAAAATTCACTAGAAGTCTTATTCCTATGTAAAAGAAAGAATTCTTCTCGATCTCTTTATACAAACCTTGATAATTCTTGCTAGGCCAAAATCAGCTATTTTAACCGTATTATTTTCGCCCACCAGAACATTTCGAGCAGCAAGGTCTATACGAATTATTCAGATTTTAAAATTTTTTCTTTCTAATTCATTACCTCGATGAATATAATTCTGTTGTTCTAAATACGCCATTCCACGTGCGATTTGTGTCGCTATATAAATCAATACTAATATTTTCAATTGTCGACCTCGAGGGCCTGAACGTGAATAATGAAAAAAAAAAGAAACACTTATGAAAACGAAATTTTACTTTGTAAATAATCAAGCAGACTGCCATTTTGCATTAATTCTGTAACAATATAAATCGGTTCTTCAATAGTACATACAGCATATAATTGAATTAAATTTGAATGTTTAAGTTTTTTCATTATTGAAGCTTCAGCTAAGAAATCTGTTGGATTCATCGAACCTTAAGAAAAAACAAATATACATATTTTTCTTCCATAAAAACAAAGAAAATACAAACCTGGTTTAAGTGTTTTGATTGCAACAGGCATACGACTATTCCATAAACCTTCCCAGACGTCACCAAATTGCCCACTGCCAAGACTTCGAATTAATCTTAAATCACGACGGTCGATTTCCCATTTATCAACAAGGTTATGTGATAAACCATCAGGCTCAGGTTTGACAATCTATTCGATTTTCTTATTTTTAGAAATTAAAAACCAAAAATTATAAAATTACTTACATGTACACAAGGCTTTCTTAGATTTACACATAGACCATCTGACGTCTTGGAATAATGAGAGACAAGCTCTGGTAGAGAACGAAATGTTATGCGACGTGCTATATAGCATCGATTATCATCCGTTTGTCTGATGCGATAATGTTTTATCGAATCATTATCTCGAACTTAAAAAGAGATACAAAAAAGAAACCAATTTTTCAATGAATTCAAAAATAAAAAAATATTTGTTTTACTTGATAAAGAAAAATCAGTACGTCTTGTTTCACTATCTCTAATCTAAAAGAAGAAGAAAACAATTTCATTGATAGAAGAAGACGAAGAAAAAACACACGTACAAGAAAACTTCCATGTTCATTAGTATCCGACATGAGCTGTTTTTCAGCGTCAATTCGTCGTATAGATTTAAAATACCATCTAATTATAGAGAAAAAAAAGTTGCATTTTGGTTTTCATGCAAAAAAATCAACATACGATTCAGATTCTAAACTATCTCGTTTAGCAACATAATTAGATGGAATCCAACCTTCTTGTCCATTTTCATTTCTTGCTTTCCACCAAGCAGAACTTTTCTTCGTTGTTATATCGAGTAGATCACTTTTTCTTATGGTTAAATCGTCTTTTGTTCGTGCATCATAATCAAATATAGCTACGTATTGAAAATAATTTCTATCATTGATTGATTTGGAAATTATTGGAGAAGTTGTTGTCGATGATGAACTTGAAACACCGGAAGATGATGGTGTTCGTATTGGGATATTATTTGCATTCGATGTCGGACCGTTCGATGCAAATATAGTCGATGTTGGCGAATCGGGTGGTAAAAGAAGCGTTTGTTGAACAAAAATCGGCAGTAGAACGGATGGATTTGATCTACTTATGCGTGGTGAACTAAAGCTATTTCGATTTTGATTTATATCCGGATCATGATCTAACTCTAATTTGCTTGATGATGGACGACCAAAGTCAATGAAATTTCCCATGGCTTTCTGAAAAAAGAGAAAACACGATTTTAAAAAGAACAATTTCTTATTAGCTAGTATTGCAACTTCTATCTATCTATTGTTCGTCGAGGAAGAAATAGTGTTAGTTTGAAAACTTACATCATTTTGTTCTTTTCGACTGGTCGCTTCTTGTAATCGTTGTTCAGCTTTACGAGCTATTACTCGTACATTTCGTTGTGCTTGTTCAACGATTGAACGTGCATCAACATGTTCAGAAATATAGCTTTTAGTTGACTTAATACCATCTTGTAACAGTTGATGTATACGCGATTTGTTAGATTCTGCCATTGTATATTATTTGCAGTCACAGGGATGTTTCTTTTTCGTACATACAGTCTCTATGTCTTCAAATGTGCACACAATTCAGCGTATGTGCTCAGTCTACAATGTCACACTTGCAATTTTTTTCCCCCGTTTTGATAATGTGTTTTGTGCGCTTGTGTACAGTACGAAAAAGTCAAAATCGACGGGCGATAGATGTAGAAAGACAACCAAAAGAAAAAGAGGAAAAAAAAGTAAAGTAACGAGATTCTGTGTTTTTTTTTTCTAGCAGCTGCTTCTGCTTCTTTTTTTTTCTTTGATAATAGTAAATAACTGTTCGACGATCGTTATTTCGCTTTACCTGTTCTTCAATGTTACAATAAGAAATCATTCATCGTTACAATGAACGATTTTACTTAGTTTTTATGTAAGAAATTAGTCATCTATATTCATTCTCATTCTATGATTAATCGATTGTTTAGCGTGGGAGCGGGGGGGGGGGGGGGGTTAAGTAGCGTCATTGGCTCTACAAAAAGGGTAGACGCATGAAGCCTTATCAAATTTTATCATTTAATACAAGGAGAAAAAGAAAAAGGTCCTATGCAATTATTTACCTGTTATTTTTCAACGCATGGATTCGATCAATTTTGATGACCAAGTGACCTAAAATTAACAAGAAAAAACAACTGTAAAATCCTGTTGACCACCCTTTTTCTTTTTCTTCATCTACTTCATGCATAGCAAATACCCGACAACCAAGCGAACGCAAGTATAATGATAATATGCTCTATACTCGTTTTTTTTCTTCTTCTTGTTCGAACAAACGCTCATATTGCCTGTATACTCTTTATATTACGAGATTTAATATTTGACATTGAATAGATGCAAGTCCGTTGGATTCTCTCTCTCGTCCCAATTTTTTTTATTCGTAAGTTAGAAAAAAAACATACAAGGAAGATCATAGAATGAAAATTGATATTCTTCTCTTTTCTTGTCAAAAAAAAAAGAAAAAAGATCGTCTTCGATATGACACACCCTTGCTCTTTTCGTTAAATACGTGTTAGAAGAAAAAACCGAATGAAGAATGAAAAGTGAGCTCAAACTCAAAATGATAATGTCTCTTGTCCCGACTTCAAACCTTGACCTTCTTTTGAGCATAATCTCATTTTTGTTTTATTCATACCGGATGTTGTACTATCGCGACACATAGCAAACATACTCATAAGAATAATAAACAAACCTGAAGTATGCATATTAAAAAAAAAAGAATTGCGAATCAAGGAAGAGGAAATATATTGACCTCGAAATAACATCTGGACTATTGCTTTATTATCAATGCTGAAAAATAACAAAATTTAATATCGATAATAGTTAATCAGAACGAGAAAAAAAGATCAAATAACTTTTATGGAAAATTACGAGTAGATTTATTAAAATATTGTATTGTATATATTGGAACGTTCGTTTCTTTTATTTCTAACATGTTTTATTGGTAGTAGATTATACGAATGTATTGTACATAGAGAATACAAGATGTCACTATAGATCAGTTTGAATACAAAACTATTACTTATTTTAGCATATAGATAAAATATTCCATGAAAGAGTTTCTATTGTTAAAATAATAAATTCTTCAATAAACGATTTTCTTTCTTACCTTGACGTATTACAAAAATAAACTAGTTAACACAATAAGATTAATCTTTGATGTTACTATTAAAATTAAAACAATTTATCAATGATCAACACAACAGTTTCGTTGATATTTATCATTTTAATCTCCAAGAAACACATTCACATTAACTTCTTTCGATACAATAGATACTAACAGTTTAGCTAGTTTTCTTCCTTGACATACCGCAATAATTGATGCTCCATAAAGATTGCCTTGTCCTTCTTAGTCAAGCTCAGCTATAATAGCAATTGCCGTATCAATATATTTTCCGTTGGGAGTAACCAAAAATAAAATGAAGTCGTTCTCATGATAATTGATTATCTGTAGTGATGTAAGAATTGAAACTCTTCAACAGTTAACACCAATTTCTGATATGAATTTCCATGTAAGTCAATTCAAAATATTCTTATGATTGAAATATATGTAGCAGTCAAAGAAAAAACAATGTTCTATTGACTTCGAGAAAGTAGGTCGATATTCTTTCTTTCTTTTTGTCGTTACTCAGTATTTTATTTCAAATTGAGAATACCAATTCATGATTCTATTAAATTTAGCCTTCGAAAGTTTTATTCAAAGATAAATTCACAGGAGATGAAACGTTAGTTTTTTAACTTTGGCGAAAACAGATGAATAAATCCATCAAGATCTAATTCATTTGGTAAACTATCAATAGAATTCACTTGATCGTTAAAAATATCAAGAATTCCAAAAGCTTCACGAAGTTCATCTAAACGAAAAAAGCAAAGTATATGTCTTGAATTCTTTAGCAAAAGTCAGTGATAGTATACTGCTAATTTCATGGGAAGTGTAACATATTTTTCGTCGTTTCTCCGCTTCTACATATATTTGATCACGCAACTCACAATTCTCAGAGGGCTGCCATTATATAATTAGAGCGTCATTTCTTGAATTTTTCTTTCCCTCCGACGTAAACTTAGTAAATTCGATTAGAGATCTAGCATATGCCGAAACTTTTCGTACAATATGAACCCATTTAATTCCATTGAATACTAACCTATTGTCATCTTCTCACCATTGGTCATCTAGAACGATATATAATAAAATACTCTACAAGTTCAAATATAATAAACACGTACGAGAGTTTGTGCCAGTGATTGAATATTAATTTTTTCATTTATCGATAATTTGTATTCATCAAAAACCGATTTCACTATATCATCAATCGACATTTGATCGGTATTATTGGCGAAATGGTTATAGAAAATTCGTATTGTTTCATGAAAATTAATTTTTATCTGATTAGGATCAAGAATATTTTTCTTGAAACATTGTTCATCATACAATTCTTGTATCTGACCTTCAGATATATAAATGCCAAGTGCACGAGTAAAATCAATAATTAATGGTAACGATATGAATTGTTCAATTGTTAAATTACTTGCATCTTGCAATTGAATATAATAAAATAGAGATTGAAATTGTTTTACTTCGAGATTTGATTCGATTGGTTGATTTTCTAAACGTTTTTCCATTGAAATCCTATTAAATTTCCATATAAATATACAATTATCTTTTTCACCACAGGAAATTAAAAGATTATGACAAGGAGTAACATCAACTAATCGTACACCAGTTGGATGAGCTAAAATCATATCATATTCATTTGGATGACCTGTTCCAGGTAATTTCATAACACCAATTTTATTTGATGTTCGATAAACAAGATAAGATCTATTCAAAATATCTTCACAATCATTTCGCCAGACTTTTATCTAAAATTTCTTTTTTATACTTTCAAACAAATCAACAACAACAAAAACGAAAGTAGTGATTTACCTGTGGAAATGAATGATCTATCGCTTGAACTGTATGCCGACATTTTTTAGAATTAATATCAAAAAATTTTATTCGTCCATTATTTATTGAACATAATAAATAATCAGTTGTTTTATCAATAGAATAAAACACTAGAGATGATACATATGATGGATATTCAACGAGATCTATTTGAGATTGTATGATAAATGGATATTGACGTAGAGGATCAATACAATATTCAATAAGATAACCATCACTATTACAAGAAAATAATCGTTGTTTTTTTGTATGTCGATCTTCGGTAAATAGAATTGCTGTTATGCTACTAAAATCATTCATACAATGACCATGATTATGATAGATATGAGATTTTTGCTCATCTTGAACATGAAGTGTGATGCCCTTGAATGAAAATCGGATGTGTTTATTGTTACTCATAAACAAAAACTTACCCTATCAAGACTAACAGCAGCTAAAAAGAGTGTACTCGGAGAGAATTGAAGGAATGTTATCGATGATTGAGAATTATGCAACGGACGATTGCTTATTGGATTGTATGTAGCAGCTATAAATGAATGATACCACTCAATACTTTGTCTTTAAGTGTGAATTAAGTGCTAGGCACTGGGCCATAAAACACGAACTAAAAAGGCTCGGATACAAGAACTCTAAGATAGATCAGCCATATAGTCGAAAACTATTCATTAGGATTTCATACCATCATACAACCAGATCAAACCATTGTCTAAACCAATAGCTAAATGTGAACAATTTTTATTGAGAGCCAATTTTGAGATTCCAATACTAGTGTCAGTTGATATAAATTTGTCAAGAAATAAAGAACGCTCTGAACACAAAACATTTATTGATAATTCTATCTTAAAATTTCTAAATAGACATACCATCACCATGCCAAGCATGGAGATGTCCCAATGAAGTACCGATATAGATGATCGGTAAGATTGAACTAAGACATAAATCAGTAATTTGGCCCATGGGCATTGTTTGTACGATTTTAACTAAAAAAATAATTACATGGATTAGCGATGTTTCAAACAAAAGAGGCGTACTTAGCGAGAAATTTCGTTGTGCAATAAGAATTGTCTTTAAATAGTTAAGATTGTCATGTGTAAAAGATGAATCTTTATATATTACATACGTTATTTGATTGACATATTATATCGTCAAGCTCGAATGATTGATTTTTACTATCCAGTGTATTAGTCCATACTTTACTTCCGTCTTCATTTTGATCAAATTCACCGACGCTAATACCGATGATAGCACCGATATTTAATGATGAATATTGTTTAATAAAATGCAAATTATAATCGAAAACAGCTACTTGCGATTGTGCTGTTCCAATAATAATATGATCATTGAACCATTCGATACATGTTATATCACGTTTTAAATCATGTAAACGTTTCATAATTATTACTTCTGGCATATAGATTTGTTGTTCTGTTGAAGAATTCGACAGATAATAAGGTAGAGTAGTGGATAAAGTACTTGTTGGTATACTATTTCGATCTATGTTAGTGGCTGTATGTTGTCGTTGCCCCATTGGTGATGGTATTTGTGCAAATTCAACTTCGAAAAACACAGCTTTACCTATACATAAGAGAACATCAAAATAATTGAAAGTCGAAATTAATTGTTTTTTCGGAGGAAATTTCTGTAAATATCCTCACCAAATCGATTTTAGGTTTTAGTGCTTTTGCTCTATTGATAAGACTATATAGTAGTTTTAAGAGCATTCTTATTCTTTTGTTTTTGTGCATGCAAACTGGAAACGAGATAGCGTGATATGAAAACTATTTGATTAATATTTTCTTTTTAGAAAAGTAAATAGAAAAGAGAAAACATTGCAAAAATATCTTGACTACGTTCGAATTTTTATTTATTACCATTTGATGTAATTATAACTGCTTCACATTTGCGTGGGATCATATAACAAAAAATAATTTGACTAATTTTTTGGCCAAGTTTTCGTTGTATATCAGAATGTATTTCTAATTTCATATGATCGGAATCTTTACTAGGAGCTGAAATTAAGACGATAGAGAATCGATTACATAGTTCGTTTAACGTACTATAGAAAATAACAGAATCTATTCCAATACTACAAAAGTACGATCGATCTTCAATCATAGTAAACCATGATTGTCGTTCACAACTCATAGGTATGATTGGTAATACAATTGGATTAACATCATTATTAGACCAACGCCAAAGTATTATACGCTGATTGGGTGCTTCAGTTAATATACTAATTAATTTTCCATCACGAGATATTGAAACACGAATGAGACCTATGTCATGAATATTTGTTAGATATTTGACAGGTTTTGTTGTAAATGTATTCCAAATAATTAAGTATATTTCCGGTGTTGATTCTGCTGTTACTAACCATTGCTTATCATGTGAAACTGCTGCACTTACAATAGTTGAAACATGTCCTTGTAGAAAAGTTTGTGCTTTTCCACTTCCTGTTCCTATGATACCAACATTACTAGCAGCATAAAAATATCGAGTTTTGCCATTAATAGATAGATTTAGCAATGGTACATTGCTATTCATACCCATAGTCCAACTAAGAGATAGTGATGGATCATGATGGACTTGAGAATGATTTTCATCATTATGAGATTTAGTCAGTGATTGTGTAGAAATATCGTTAGGTCTCTGTGTTTCTTTGATTTCAGGTACACTCATGAGAGACCGAGTAATTATTAATAGAATTAAACGATAGCCTTACAAGAGTAAAGGCGCTAATTTAGATTTCTTCTCTAGTTTGCTAATATAGTCAAGTATAAAAATATGATCCGATGTTTTTTTTTGAGTGTAGACAATTGCCGAGCCGTAAAACGTTTGAGAAAACATTGATAGTTCCAAAACAAAAAAAAGTGATGAATATGATAGATGGCGTTCATAGTCAATACAAATTACTATTCAAATAGTTCCAGAACTAAAACAAAAACATCACTGAAAATTTAAAAATAACATTAATTTCATAGCATTTTACTCATTTTATTGTTATCTATTGCCTAACAACACGAAAGGTTTCATAGAAACAATACCTATTATGGAAGTTGCATGCATGATGGCATAGCACCCTCAACACGCCTTTTTCCTTCCGTACATCGAAATATCTGTCATTCTTCCTTTTTTTCTTCCTCGGATATGATTATATATACTATTAGATTTAAAACTATTCAACATTTTATTCTTTTTTCGAACACCTAAGTTTCTTATTTAGTGTATCTTCAATTATTACCCAACTCTAACTGCAAATTATAACTGTTTGAAACAATAATACCATTATGGTGAAAATTGATTAAATAGCATTTTACTAAAAGGCATCGTCTTTTTCTTTTAGGGTCTACTTGATCTGTTACGAAGTTTCCGTTCAGCACCTCAACAAGAACTTCGTATTTTACTTTTGGGTCTCGATAATGCGGGAAAAGTGAGAAATTTTAGAAGAATATTCTTAGAAAAGAACAGCTAATTTTTCTTTTAGACTACATTACTTAAAGTCCTTGCCTCTGAAGATATTACACATATAACACCAACACAAGGCTTTAACATCAAGAGTGTGCAATCGAGTGGTTTCAAACTTAATGTATGGGATATTGGTAAAAAGAAAAAAAAAGACTGACTGAAGATTATTTCTATCGAATTAATTTCTTATTTTTCTATTTAAACAGGTGGCCAACGTAAAATACGACCATACTGGCGTAATTATTTTGAAAATACAGATGTTTTAGTACGTTTGCAAAAAAAAAATAAGCTTCATTGTTTTTTCTATGATTTCCTCTTTTTTTGTCTACATATAGATATATGTTATCGACAGTTCCGATAAAAAACGTTTTGATGAAACAAATCAAGTAATTATTTCATGGGTTTTAATTTATCATTAATATTTTTTCTATAGGAATTATCTGAATTATTGCAAGAGGAAAAATTAAGTGATGTACCACTATTAATTTTTGCCAATAAACAAGATTTATTGAATGCTGCTAAAGCATCAGAAATCACCGACGGTCTATCATTACATGAAATACGTGATCGACGATGGCAGATACAGGGTTGTTCAGCACATACCAAAGAAGGTGTTAAAGTAAGACAAAATTTTTCATTCTTTTAGATTAAAAATCTCGTTATTTAATCGATTTTTTTAGGAAGGACTCGATTGGATATCAAAAACAGTTGCTAACAATAAAAAGAAATAGACCTGAAGATCCAAAGTCTTGCCATTAGTGTTTAATAACATAGTGTGTGTGCGTGTGTATTATAAACTGTTTTAATGCTTCTGTATTTTGTCATCAACACGAAACGAGAAGTATAACACAATCTATCAACTTAGTATTAATAGTATTTTGAAGAGTGTTGTTCTTCCTTCAGTCGAAACATGCGTTTTTTTAAATTTCTGATCATTCTTTGTTTTTCTTTTTGTACTAATGCCGAGTGTGGGACATGCTCAATATGTCTTATTTAAATGAAATCGATTGTTGTGGCTTTTCATGTACGTATGTTTATATGTGTAGGCATGTTGAAGCTCTTTGGAAAAAAATGAAGAGTATATTGTAAGATGGATTTTGTCAATGTCGCTTTTTATACAAGAAATATAAGAAATAAAAATTGAATTTTCATTTTTATTTTTATTATAGGCGCTTGAAAAATGACTATTTTAGTCTTATTCGTTCGTAAAATCAATAGCACATAGATGAGATTTTTTTTAAAACACTAGCAAAAAAAACTGTATGTGTAAATATTTGAGTGTGATTTGTTTTGGTCGTACGCTATTTAACATGCGACATGTTTTCGCTTTCTCTTTCAGACAAAACATGTTAGACTGCGATGACGGTTAATGACTCATTGTAAATAAATAATATCGATGTAAAGAGAAATACATTTTCGTACGTACTCATCATAGTAAAGAAATCGGATTCAGAAAAAAGCAAAAATGATGTTTGACAAAGTGCCTTCATACTTTTCAACATTGCCTGTTGAGTTTATCTATCGTATTCTGGATAATCTCGATGATTTTACAATTTTATATTCAACTCGAAACGTTTGTGCACGATTAAATAGCATCATTGATACGTATCATCGATATCAGGTAAATTTTTGAATTTTATTATTCACGAAGCAGTATTCAGGTCGATCAACAATTGTAAAAGAAAAGAATCATTAAAAATATACTGTAGTAGACCATAACTTCACCTATGATGAACGCATAACTGAACGCCTTAGTAATTGCGAATATGCAATCATCCTATATGTTTATACTTCATCTTCTATTTCTACCATTAATTTCGATAGCTAGATCTTCTAACGTGAGCATACGATGCACTTTTGGCTACCATAGTAATTTTCTGAAGAGAGAGAAAAATCAAACGTTGTTGTTTTTTTCATTTAAAGCTAAAATATTGAAGGTAGGTACTCACTACTCTTGACCTTACCGATAGAAAACTTGGAGTTGAAGGAGCAAAACATCTGAGCAACGCTCTCGTCAATAACAAGGTAAATCATTATGCTCTATTCATTCTATCGAGCACAATTCGGCATTTTCAAATAGACGCTCACTTCACTTAGTCTTTGTCGAAATCAAATCGGAGATAAAGGCGCCCACTATTTTGCTAATGTTCTGATCATCAATACGGTAAAATAATATCATCTCAGTTTGCATTATCTCGATTCTTTTATTAGACACTCGAGTATCTCAAACTTCGTGATAATAACATTAGAGAGCAAGGTGCTAAATATCTAGCTGATGCTCTCGCCAGCAATACTGTAAACTACTATTTTCTAGTCGTGTCGCCTTTGACTATATTGGCTTCTGATACAGACACTTACCACACTCATTCTTTTCGACAATGAACTCGGAGACAAAGGAGCACAGCATATCGCCAATGCTCTCACTAGCAATAGGGTAAAATATGTTCTCTACTGATTTTGCCCTTCATAATCTCGACTTCCCATGTAGACACTCATGATACTAAGTCTTAAACGTAATCAGATCGGACCGGAAGGTGTGCAATATGTTGCTAATGCTCTCACTAGGAATACGGTATAAGCATTGAATTTTACTCTTTTTACTTTTTATCGTCTCGGTTTTCTAACAAGGCACTTATTAGACTTGCTCTTAGTGCCAATAATATTGGAGATGATGGTGCACAACATCTTGCAAATGCTCTGACTAGCAACACAGTAAAAGATAATTTTCTATTCAGTTCGCCCTTCTCTATCTTGATTTTCCATACAGACACTCACTAAACTCATTTTGGTTCAAAATGGAATAGGCGATCAAGGAGTACAATACATCACCAATGCTCTGAAAAATAACACGGTTACACATGATTCTGTAGTAATCAAGTTTTTTTTTTATCTCAACATTTTGCACATATAGACGCTTACCAAGCTCAATCTTGTAGACAATCAAATTACTCATCTAGGAGCTAGATATCTTTCTGATGCTCTCTCTTGTAGCAAAGTAAACCAATATCTTTCATTAGCGTCACTTGTCGTGATGTTCATTTTTGAAGTAGGCACTCACTAAACTTCATCTTAACCATAATAATATTGATGCCGAAGGGGCAAAACATATTGCCAATGCTCTCATCAATAACACGGCAAACCATCGTATTCTGCTCATCTCGCTCTTCATCGTTTTAATTGTTTCATATAGACACTCATCAAACTTGACCTTAGCCACAATGGTATCAGATCCGATGGTGCACAAAGTATTGCTAATGCTCTCACCAGCAATAGAGTAAAATTTATTTTCCAGTTACTTGACCATTCACTGTACCAACTGTTTATACAGGTACTTACCGTGCTCAACTTGAGCTGCAATGATATAAGAGCTGAAGGAGCGAGACATCTTGCTGATGCTCTCACGAGAAATACGGTAAAATCAAGATTTCTATCCGAATTTTTCTTCTCGATTTCAATTTATCACACAGACGCTTACTACACTTGAACTTAGTCGAAATGACATCGGACTTCGGGGAGCACAAAATCTTGCCGATGCTCTTATCCACAATACAGTGAAACTCATTTCTTCTCGTCTTATTCATCACATTACAGATTTTCTAAACAGACACTTACTATGCTGAATCTCAAATGGAATCAAATCGAAGATCAAGGTGCACAAATTTTTGCGAATATTGCCAGCAAAAATACGGTAAAATAATAGTTTGAAAAAAAGGTCATTTTTAATTTTTGTTTAATTTTTATAAAGACACTCATTAGGCGATGATCGATTTGTTTTGAAGGAAATAAATTTATAACTGTATTTCAATCCGAATTAATTTTTTATCGTGTGTGTGACAGTGTGTTCTACTGTAACGTATATCTCGATTCTATCTATTCTCTTTTCTTGTCTTTTTTCCTTTCTCTCTCCGTTTTCCTCTATTTTCTTGTCTCTGCTTTCGTGTGCGTATATAAACATGTGTTTTCTAAAAGAATAAACGAAAAGATAATAAAACACACACGTTCAAAGTGTTCGTCGCTCGCCGTGAGCGAGATACGCTAAAGTAATACATTTGAAATTATGAGATTTTCCTTCGCCTTTTCTCTATCTATGTTTTGAAATAGGTTAACTGTCTGTACATACATCTTTTATTGTTAATATTTTGTGTAAACAAACAATTGAAAATCAGCATTACATATCTATATCTACATGAAGAAAAAATTTTCTAAAATCTTTTGAAAATGACGAAACAACATCGAAGGAAATATAATTCACTTTCTAGCAATTGATTCGTGTTGCATCTCGTGTATTGTCATAAGATTTTAGTATATACGGAAATGTATAAAAATGAAAATAGCTATAATGACTTTCTTGAAAATATTCCAAATCGTCATTTGATGATAAATTTATTTAGTTGTAGCATAGGATTGACAATATTTTCTGTTGTAAATGATTTCCATCAATAAATCCTGTATTGAAATCGAGGTGAAGATGTAAATCTTATGTTTCTAAATTTAGCATTCGTCGTAGAAGTGGCATAATCAATTCATCGGAAACATGCGTACGCATATCAGAATGTAACGAAAAAGATTTTAGATCGAGTAGTCTTACCTGAAAACAGGGGATCGGCGTCTTTAGATGAATTTTGATATTAATCAATAGCAACACATACTTTATTATTGGTTCGTAAACTGATAGAGAAAATGCGATAAACATCAACACGAAATGTACGAAGTTGACTGAACCGACCATCGAGTAAATAAAGACAATCAGTGAAATCTTGTACACGGACGTACAGTTCTAACAACGATGAAGAAATCAATGTTGGGGATGAAAGTTAACTGTATGACAAATAAAAATAAGAGCTTGGAGAAACTATTTATTCATTTAAAATTAACATGATAAAACCACTTACTAGTAATGAGCGACATAGCTTCTCCTATATCATTACAATATACGTATAGGCCAAGACCGTATAAAGCAGGATATGTTGCTGAGAGAAGAATACGTTTAATAGATATGGACTCAAGATTAAGCCATTTGATTTTAGGGTGAATTTCAGGTAACATTTGTGAACAAAATCGCTCAAGTCTTCTTTTTGGTAATAGTCGGATAGAATGATCCGATAAACATCGTAATAAGTTCAAACGACCTGTGAAATTTGGACTATGCGCAATCACATTTAATCGTTTGTTGACACCTGCTAACGAATAAAGTACTGAAAGTTTGTTCAATTTGTTGAATATAATCAGAAGAATTTCATCTGGTAAATCATCCAATTGAATGCTAGAATACTCCATGTTTATCTTCACTGAATATTTGGTATTGAGCATTGTACTATTTATGTAGAAGAGTTGGGGCTCTCCTCGTTGATCGACACTGGCAACGATCGCCAAGAAGAACAATGATCTACTTTTCTATTATCACACGTGACGGCGATTAGTAGATCAATGAGCGCGATTATAGCTATATTGTCTTTTTTTTGTATTCTAAAGGCAGGTCAACAACGAAAAAATCATTTAATATATAATTTCGATGACCAAATCAAAAGAATTTTGTTCTTTTGATTTTTTTAAGATATCTTAAAATTAACAAGTACTCGTAAATAATCAGAGAGAAAAAAGACCATCACCATAGACTTTTTTTGATATACGAGAGTTCATTACGAAAATAAATCCTAAAAAACTTTTCAATGTGTATGTCCTTCATTCATTCGTTGATTTAAAAATTTATAAATTCACCAAACACGAATATGTCAGACAATAGAAATTCAACATCATCTTCATCGCAAAAGGATTTAACTGGATTAAATGGAGAACATTTAGTGACTATGGCTGTCAGTGCATTGCTAGCGGTGATATGGGCACTGAGAAATCCAGTGTTAACAGAAACCACATCTGTCAAAGCTCAAGAAATGTGCTCTTTTCACATACAAAATAACATTACAACAGAAACTAATTTAAATATAATTTGCTTTTTCATAGGTTTCATATAACATTAAACAAGTTATTTCACTTTTTACCTCTACAGATACACTACTTAGACCTTTATATCATAAGAATCGATTGAAATTTTTATAAAATGAAATCATGTTTATTTAAAATATGTACATAAATAGGAAAACTCTAAATATTTCATCATACTGAACACAAGTATTTATGATTATATAGGAAAAAAAGTGATTCTTTATTTGTCATATGTATTTATTCGTTAATACCAAAGACTAATTGTTTTTTAACAACATTCATATAATACATAATACATTAAAGTTATATATTTACAAAACTACGTTTTGGTTTTTATTCCTTACAAAACAATAATTGTAATGTTGCAATTAATTTATCATCGGACAAGCACCGTCGGTCCACTAAAGAAAAAGCAAATGAAATATTGATTATTATTTTTATGTTTTCTTCTTACAGTTAAAAGATGCCGATGTTCAGCAAGTGCTACGGCTGATTGATAATCTTTTTGAAGATTATCATTTAATTGAATAACTCGATCATTGGTTTCAGCTAAGCGAGGATCATTGCAAACATGATAAAGATCTAGACAATAAAAAATAAATGGGAATCTTAAAAAGTTCAAATTTCTTTAGTTTTACCTCGAAGTAAACTCATTGTATTCAGTTGTGCAGTATAATCAGGAATCGATTGACTTATTGTTGTTGCTGATTGAAGCATATTTGCACTTTCCTAATATACACATACAACATAGAAATGAAAAACTCAAAATAATCATTTTTTACTTGATAAGTATGCATGCGGAAAAACATATGGCCAAGAATAATAAATGTATTTGTTAAAATTTTATTCAAGTCTTCATTACTAGCGAGATTAGCTGCACGTCGAAAGAGTTCTCTATTTAAATAGATAAAAGTCAATATTAGAAAGCAATAAAACGTTTCTTCGATCGTACTTTGCTTCATGTATACGCGATTGTGTTAGGTTTTGAAGACCATTTAATAAATTTCCAATAGCATGAAGTATTGCCGATCTATCATAGAAAAAAACATTTCTTCGAATTCATTGTTTTTAGAAAATAAAAATTATGTACTGAGTTGTATTTAAATCAATATTAATTTGTTGTAAAATCGGTATTAGATTGGCTATTTTAGATGTTCGTAAATAGACCATAATAAGATTAGCAAAAACAAAAAAACGGAATTCTTTATCGCCAGAAAACTATAAAAAAAAAATGCTTTGTAAAAAACCTGTTTTTATTAAAACCAAAGGGATTAATTTACTCGAGTTCGAAGAGCACTTGCAAACTAGAAAAAAAAATATCATAGTTCAAATAAAAATATTTACAAGAAAATTCCTGCAGCTACCTGTGCTTCAGCTGCTTCATTAAAATTTAATGATGTAGCATAAAGACCCTAAAGAAAAAAAAATAAGATTTTCAGTTTTTCTTCTCCACCATCTTTTTTCTATCAATCGAAATTTACTAGTAATGCATGAATAGTCAATGTTCGTTGAATTGCATTGCTATTATTAATCGAATTAGATGCAGTATGAAGTCGACAGAGTATATTGATCTAATTATATTATTCGGTTGTTGTTATTCAAATATGAAAATAAGGGATTTACTTCTTTGATAGCAACGGATTTGTTACCAAATATCAAATGACTTTGTATGCGACATTCATAAAAGAGCATTTCAACGGCCATTAAAAACGGACTATGATCCATACTTTTGATTTGTTCAATTTGTGCTTGAGCTTTATCAGCATATTTAAGAGCTTTTTCTAAACGGCCTGATAGCATTGAATGAAAAACAGTTAACTAAAGAAAAAATAAAAATATTTATTATTTTAATTTATTCAATTGACATACTAAATAAACAAGAACATTTAAATGATCGCGAGATAACCATGTGAACTGTTCGAGTGGATTTCCAATTAAATAAGCTTCTGAAATTAGCACAATAAATGTATCATTGAGATTGAATCAAATAATAGATTACCTTCTTCAGGCCGACTTGCTAGGTTTTGAATACTTTGTTGAAGTTGCATCAATGCAGTTTTTGATGATTTAATCTAAATATAAGACATTAAATATACGGATCGAATCATCAAAGGAATAGTTAAGAGATAATTTTTCAATGTAAAACATACTTGACCAAGTCCAAAACAAGAACATGAGATATGTAAAACCAAATAGAAAATTCTCATCGTTTCAATATGTGTAAAATTTCCTTGTAACGAATTGATTCTATCCAAACATGGTTTCAATAAATTTTGTGCATCCATATAATCTTTCATTGATAATCGAATCTAGAAAAACAGCAACAAGAAAAATCTTCAATTTTAAATCTTGATTTTATTTAATTATTTTACCATAGCTTTAGTCAATTGAAAAAGAACTTGACCAAACAACGCATTCATTCTTGCACTAAATTCTATTCCACGGTCAGCATAATAAATCGATGTATTATAATCTTCTTGAGAATGATAAATGCTCTAAAATAAAAAATAGAGGTAACCGAAATATTCCGATGCTTCGTTTTGCGGTAATTCTCAATCAAATTTTCGACTCCGTGCTCTGTTGAAATTAAAATTTTTCCCGACTATTATCAGGATTTACTTACAATTATTTGAAATATAATTCTACAATGCCAATAGGGCTGCTGTGCTGAAAGATCGTATGCTTGTTGAAGTAATGTTATTGATGATGCAAATTGATTTTGATTCAAATAGATTTTTGCTAGTAAACAAAGACTTTCAAGTTTGATATCATCCGGCATTTGAGCTAAATGGCACTAAAACAAAAAAATTCAACAATAAATATCAAGAATTGAATTTAAAAACAAACAGCTTTATCAAGATGCATTGATGCCATATCAAAATTGGTTGTATGTTGCGTATATAATCTTCCCAAGAATAGATGAACTTTAGCTTCAATCAACGTTGGCAATCTTATTGTTAGAATAGCTTGTAAACATTGTATTGTTAAACGATAATTTGGCGGCGTACATGTTCGAAAATATTCTGCAGAGCCAAGCAATGCTAAATAAACAGGATCAGCCATCTAAAACAATTTGACTTTTAGATCTAACTAAATGCAAACATAAATAAACATCTTTTCTTCAAGCAAAATACGGAAAGAAGACTATGACAACAGAACGCTTAGACATATTTGCTATTTTTCTTTTTCGTTGTATAAACACACAAATATTGAAAATAAAAATAAATTGTTATTACACAAAAAGAGAGACTAGACACATCAAGCAAACTGGTGGGCGATTTAGGGAGAACGCAGCACTCTTCTTGTTCTATTGTATTTAACACAAAAAATTTTTTTTTTATGATCATGTAAAAAGAAATACAGCGATAGATTCAAAATAAATAATGCGAGATTGCCTAAATTGCACAGAAAATAAAAAGATAAAACACCGTAGATAGAATTGAAGTTTAGATATATTATGAAAATCTTATTTTATTTAATAAGGAATTGAATTTTGTTGATATTGAATGTAATCATATAGACGTGTTCTTAAGCTATGTGCACATCGATTAATTACTTCATGCATATAACGACCTGCTTCAGCTTCACTTGCATCAGGTTTTAAACGAGCATTTAATTGTTCTAATGTATGACCGCGAAAACAGGGTAAACCAGTGTCAAGCATTAATGCGACAAGAGTTACAAAATGATGACGATATCGCCTGGAAAAAAAAGATTCATCAAAATATATTTGATTGTGAAATATGAGCTGTTTAGCTTAGTGAAATAACTTCATCTTATGTTTAAATGTGAATTTACCTCAGAGCCAAGTAACCTTTTATACACAATTCTTTAAACCATTGAAAAGCCGGAGCAGTAAGGTCACCCATGATAAGAATCATTTCAGCAGTTAATTTAATATCTGGTTCAAAACGCATATTTCCACCAGGTGATGATTCGAACATAAAACCAAAATCTATTTCAACAACAACAACAAAAAAAAGGTAAGTACTTTCAATAAATATAACGTAACAAACCAATATGAACAATATGTCCATCGTCATCAATCCTAAATAAATAAAAACGAATGAAAACAAAATCTCCTAAAACTTAAAATATGCCTACATAATATTTCCATTATGACGATCTTTTATTTGTAGCATAAAAAGTGCGATGGAATATGCAGCCATACTCATAACGAAATTTCGACGTGCCTTAATTAATAGAAAGTATATTTCATGGACGAAAAAAAACTATTTTTCGTTTATTTTACTTTTTGAAATTTGATTGAATCATCTTTTCCATAAACATGTCGAAAATATTCGAATAAACCAACTTCTGTATTTCTACCAATATCTTCACGCGAACGAGAATTTGGTACACACTCAATCACACCACACTGTGGAAAATATTTTTCAATTTATAAACGAAACAAAACAAATTAAAACACTTACACCAGGACTCGTAGCAATCACACGATAGGTATATAGATATAATTCTAAACCTTCTTGTTCGAATATATTTTGAAAAAGACGCATTAATTGTAGTGCAAGAATGTCCTTGTTAAAATAAACGAAAAATTATTTTTAATGACAAAAGAAAACAAGAAGATTATTCTACCTGTCGAACATCATCACCAACTTTAAAAATAGCCATCTGAGAATATTGATTACTGAAGTCTTGCATTAATTCATAATCCGGATCAGCACAACGTTCAACTTGTTCGATACCAACAGTTTGTACACGAAACGTTGCACGATATGGGGCTTTCGCCGCACTAAAATGCAAATTACTTATAGTAACAATCGATTGCCTTTCGTCAGTATGATTTACCTTTGCATCGGAGCTCCACTTTCTGGTAATAATGAAATAACAATTGCTTCAGGATTCGACGGCAGATAAACACCAGGTGGTACTTCACTACCAATCGATCGTAATGCTTGTAGACATGCTAATCGATAAAAGAATTATAGTGCTAAGTCATATTATATGAATTCTAGCAGTCGTACCTTCTTTGCGTGCATTTCCTTTTGGATAGACTTTGATTGTTTCTGATACTTTTGTAAGTCGATCCGAAAATGTAAAAACACGTTCATAGAAATTTCTGGCATCCGTAGTAAAATCAAGTTCAATTTGTCGAGCTATTGGCTCTAATTTTGCTTGCATTTCATTATCGGGTGTATCTTCATTTTTATATGTATTTGTTCGAATATTCCATATAAGCTGATGAGCTAATAAATTTGATTTTTTCGATAATGCTAATATTAAACAACGAACGAAACCCATCTAAACAGAAAAGAAATCATCTTTTTTTTATGAGCTAAATAATTATTTGATTTTTTTCTTATACCTCATCATAGCGAACAGCTTGAACCAGTTGAGGAATGTATAAAATAAGTGCTTCTGATTTCGTTGTATATAGCATTCGTGAAGCAAACTGTATTGTATATGAATTCGCTACTTGATTAAGTCGCGCACTCGCAAAATATGATAACGCAGTGACAGGATCAATTGCAGTCCACGTTAAAATATGTGATGTCTAAAAATTTGAATAAAGATATATTTATTTTTTTCCGTAAAGTTTCTTACTTCGCATTGTCGATCATTATCAGATGTTTGCGTAAAGATAATCAGTGCTTCTGGTATATGACGAACTTGTAGTGGACATGATTTGACTAGACGTTGAATTTCAAGACGTAGAGATTCTTTTGGAATACTAGAAAATAGAAACGTTTTTCTATTTTAAAGAATAGAATTGAAATAAACTTACGTATAATAAAGACTAACAGCTAAATCTGGTGAAATAAGCCAAGCTAAACGGCCATATTCTTGCCAAGCTTTATTAGAGATTCCATTCATATCGTATAATTTCCAATTCGTGTATGTTGATTGTGTATCTTGATCGAACTGAAGTTCTGGACGTCCCAACGGATTGTGAAACGTTTCCAAACGTTCAATTTCATAAGCCTTTATAATTGCATTCATTTGTTTTAATGGTAAAATAAATATTTAGTTAACTTACAAGTAAAGTTAGAAGAAGATTACGTTTTTTAAGTAAATCTCGAGATAATATTCGTGCATCATTACTTTTATCGGTATTTTTTGCTGATGTGCCTATGAAAACAACAGTCAACATAAATTAATATTTCAAAAAGGATTTTAGTTCATAAAAATTTTTCATTCATTTAAATATTTAAAACTCGAATACTATCAATCGATTATACCAGATTTTCGACTTAATGTTGATAGTGCACCAAGTCCTGGTGGAGCTGCACTGCCACTAGCCAATGCATTGATCCATCCAGATGTCCCTCCATTTTTGCCTGTTCCATATAATGAAACAGCATCGATAGCTTCATTATTCAAACCATTCGATAATGGGCTATTACCATCAGCTAAAAATGAACCAATTCTTTTTTACAAAAAAATCTTATTATTTTTTAACACAACATTACTTGCAGCTGGCGAATCACTGCAAAATTTCTTTTCACCATGAACCAATGAAAAAAATCGAATTAATGTTCGTATATCACTTCTTAATTCATTATGTGTTTGAGTTGGACAATGATGATCAACACTATCGTACATTGAAATTTTAATAAATTATTATTAACAAGAAGAAAAAGATTTTTCTTACGTAAAATAATCAAATGCTGTATGATAAATTTTTTCTCGAAGTAGAAATTTACTAACACCATCAGCTAAATAATCACTCTGTACAAGATACAGAGCGAGATATACAAATCGAAATCGAAGGCCAACGGCACCAATATGTTTTGTCATTGGTGCTCTTGGATTTTCTAATATTAATGAAAGTGATTTATGTAATAGATCAACAAGCATTTCCATTTCAATATCAGCTTTGTGCATACATAAAAATACACGTTCTTCAATAAACTAAACAGTAGAAAAATCATATTAAGCAAGAAAATTAGTTTGATGCGATAGTAATTACTTTTAAAAATATACGATGTGGATTTACAGATGGTGGTTTAGGTTTTAATTCTTGTTTTTCTGATGGCGCCAGTGGTGACGGTTCTGGTCTATCAATTGAATAAAGACCATGGCGATCACTGATAATTTTTTCCCAAGCCTTATAAATTTCTTCGACAATCTAAACTCAAAATAAGATTTCGTCATGAAAACAAAAATATTAAGTTAGGTACCAATAGTTCAAGTTCAGGTCGACCTATTATTGCCCAGCACCAACATTCAATGGCTCCTTCCATGACAGTTGTAGTAAACATCTTTACTGGAAGCCAAGTCATAGCATGAACCATCTCGCGATCAAGTGCATTTTCTGAAGCATAGAAACAAAAGAAAAACTTCAATTAGATGATTTGAGTAGTTACCTTTTTGTGAAGGCGTCCCATTGGGTGCACCACCAATTGCTGTAAAACGTAATTCATGTTCATTTTCTTCTAGAATGGATAAAATTAAAAGATTATTATCGTTGTTTTTTCCTTTTTTAAAATCAAAAAAGAAAATACTGCAGAGCAGATACTCCTAGATTTCATGAAGACAAAAAGTTGAGTTTGATAGAAAGAATTATTCAATTGAACAACTCTCAACAAAATTGAATTATGAATTCTTACCTGAATCATCAACATTATGAACTAAGATTGCTGTTAATTTAAAAAGTGCATTTCGAAAGTTACTATCAACTGAACGAAAAAAAAGGCAAGTATTTACAAAAATATTGCTATAAAAATCTCTTACAAATTGCAATGCGTTCTTCAAAATCAAGTGCACTGCCTTTATCACTTATAGGCGCTACAATTGACATTCGTCGACGGCGTTGTTGTAGTGATTTGTATTTATCAAGTGAATTCAGTCGATTAAAAATTGCAGCTTCCATTTGTCCTTTTACTTCAGTTATTGCTGTTCGGTATTCATTTCGATCAAGTCCTTCGACCTATTTTCATAAACAATAATCTATATTTTGCCGATTTTTTTCAATACTTACAAATCCAACTGCTGAACAACGTTCACCTAATGACACCATATAATCAGCAAAATCAATTCGATAATATAATTTAGTTGGCCCAGTTGTTGTCTATAATGGATTAAACAAAACTATTACACATGTTGTATACATTCGAAACTTACATTGGCATCAGCAGCTTTTGAATAAGTACTTAAATATTCCCACATAACCTAAAATGAAAAATCATTTAAATACTAAATGACTATGATTCATATAATAGAACACATACATGTAAACCTTTGTGTTGTCTAGCTGCATTTGAAATCTTTTTTCCCTGTTCAAGTTTAAGCATATATTGCTAAAAGCAAAACAAAAATCGAATTTTTGTTCCCATGAAAATCTTAATCTAATACTGACTTGAATACATGATTTGAGTAATGTCGGTGACATCATTAATGCTTGTTCAATAAAAGTTCGACCAAAATCCACCAATGCATTATAAAGTTCCTATTTTAGTTATAAAGAAAACGACTTTCTAACAAAATAATCTTAAAATAAAACAAACCAATCGTTTTTCATGAGTATCAACAAATTGTATTGTATAGTTCGTATTGGGTACACGATGATGTGCAGTTACTTTATGTAAATTATCTTCATTTAATGAATACGATAATATATTGATAATATTCATTAATGTTTCTATCACAACTGAATTACAGAATAAATGTGGAAACCTATTAAACATTACGATAAAGATTATAACGTTTATTTTGTTGAAGAAAAACATTCATACGCATTTTTTGATAATAATGAATAAAGATAAAGTTTAGCTTCTTCTCGTACTTCAGCACGAACATGCGTTCGTTTAACCATAAAAAATTGACATTGAACTTCAAGATTTTTATTTCGTTCTGGACTTTTTGGCTAGAAATTTATTTATAGAATAATTCATTTTCTCAAAAAGTATATCATATGAATTTTACCATTTTTTTCATTTCATCAACATAAATTTCAAAACTTTTTCTTCCAACAGCTGTCATTAATGTCCATAGACCTATGGCATACGAGCAAAAAACTAAAATCTTATTATCATATACACAAGTTTTTTCCATACCGTATTTATCTTTTAATAAACCTGCATCTTCCAGATAGGAAAATATGCATTGAAAGGCTGATGGAGCAAGTGAATGGCAAACTCTAAACAAATATGAATTAAAATGAGTGTGAAAATACTGTGGTAAGAATTGAACATACCTGAATGTTTCAAGATAATAAACGGATAGTGTATAGGCACTTTGTTCGAAACCAAATCTATCAATAAATGGTTTCGCTGTTGGATAAGCCGAAAAAATACTATTTAATTGTGACTTTAATTCATTATTATCTTCCTATACAGAAAAAAAGAGAATATTTCAAATCTTACATCCTATTTTTGAGTTACTTTAGCGATTTGTTCAGGTTTTAATGGCATAGCAGATTTCAATGGCACATAGGGACCATTTTGAGCTACTAATGTGGGTGATTTTGTAGCAATTAATCGAACACAATCATGCCATTCCGATGGCCATAAGCCTCTTTCGGAATCAGCAAAACCAAAGAGAACACAATAAAACCAAAAATGTTGAAATAAACGAAATACACGTTCAGATGGCTCAACAATAACTGATATACGTCTCATCACGATAGCTATAACAGGTATTAATACACCAAGACTACCGGCAGTATTCGATGCCTTGAAGAAGAAGAAAACATGGAATTTAAATTAATATCAGAAACAATTTACTTTGAGAGCATTTTTCGTTGATTTTTCACTGGCATCTTTTGCTCTTAAACCAAGTTGTACAAATAATTCGAGAATACTCGTTAATAAATTCATCAATTCTAATGATCCTTGAATATTGGCAGCTACATTAGCTAATGCATTAATTACTGCATTTGACGCTTGTCTAAAGAAATTTGATATGTTATAAAATTTCCATACTTCTTTGCGAACATAACATACTTATATTTAGTGGTACGTCGACCTGTTGTTGTATTCTTATTCGTATTATCATATGTAGAATAAGTTGAATCAATAATTATATCAGTAAAAAGTCCAAGAATTTCTTCGTAGGTTGTTTGTGGCTGAAATTAGAAAAAAAAAAGAAAATTTGTTTGATGTTGCAAAATAAATATTAAAATGCAAAAATAAAAGAAAGCTTGAGCTATTTTTTTTCGCAAAACAATACCCCAATGGATCGACAAGGAATTCGATTGAGTCTTTTTTTCAAGTTCTTTTTATCTTTTCTCTTTAAAATTTTTCTTCGATCAAAAATGAATTCAACTGGCGTTTGTAATAATTTAAATTTATTGATTAGAAATGGAAAACGACGAGAAGGTTTCTAAATAGCAATCAGTTATTTTTTTGGCTTTCGAAATCAACATTTTTGTATTTTCTTTTGAAAAACTAAATTTAAACAAACAAAAATGAACTTACAAGACTGGAAATGAGCATACAACCGATTTGATTTATAATGAGAATATCCAGTGGTGATGGTGGATCGCCAAGGCGTTGTTGAAATCGTGCTAAAATTGACTGTTGGGTATGTTGAACATCTTTTAAAGTTATTGCCATATGACCCAATGTAAGTATGGTGTTATGACACACTAACGATGTTTGTCTAAATTAATAAGGAAACAAAATAAAAAGTGAACAGTTTTATTGCAAATTTTTAGTCATGCAATGTCAAAATTAGCTAGATCGATATCTAATTTATAACGAAAATATTAGATTCTTGTGATGTACTCAGTTCGTGATGACAGAATTTATTCAAGGCTGATAAACAAAATTTCTCTCATTCCATCGGAAATTCATGATTGCCATTTCTCATCCTCTCGCTTTAATTATGAGTGGCATTGCCAAAAATATAAACATGCAATCTTAAAAATTATGAAAAAAAAGCAAATTCTTGCATTCACTAATATATAAATACACAAATAAATAAAAAGCTACAAGCCAAGAAAACTTTTGAGAATAATAAATGTTAATTACTCTCTCACTTACAATAAACTTTCATATTTTTCTTTGTTAACACCGTCTCGTATCGATGAACGGCGTTTGAGAGCAGCTGCATCGAGCAATACAATATTAAACACCCAATGCGAACTGAAAATGTTCAATTAGCATTTTGAAAACAAATATATGACAAAGCAAAGCAAACTATAACTAATTTTTGACATGAACGATAGGAAAGCTTGTGACATTTTTTTCCACGATTACAAAAATACTTACTTATCATTGACATGTCCTGAGGCTAGTCTTGCTGAAAGTTGTACAAGTAAAGCTTCAACACATTTTGGATCGGAATCCAAGCGGATAAATAGAGATCTAAAATTCATTGAAAAAAAAAAGACGAAATAATCCAAATAATAAAAGATAAGGACGAACTTGCAAAGTCCTTCAATTGCAGCATCACGAAGTTTTTCAAATATTTGAAATGCTCGATATTCTTTAGAAGACTTAGCTTGTTCATTAAAAAAGAATGCACGTTCTTGCCCATCGATTTTTAAACTTGTATGACGATATAATTTATATAGTACCGGCGATGGTTCAGTTAGAAAATCACATAATGCACGAACTGTATAGATTGCTAATGATTTATGTTTTTCTGCTATTCGACTTAAAACCTACAAATCATAATATTAAAAGGAGTACAATCATATTTTATTTTTACCTCTAATGACGTCACTAATAGGGGGATTTGTGCTGCTAACAATTTGATACTTAATGATTCTTGACTAAATTTTTCAGCACATTTTGTACATAATTTTTCCGCTTCTAAATAATTAAAAATCATAAGACACTTATAAAAATGTAGCTATTGAAAATTTCCGAAGAAAAGATTCATCTGACAGCGCTAAGGAAACCTCCTTTTCAATGTTGGCTTAAAAAATTTTGTTTATAATGAATCTTTTTTTCGAAATTTTCATCGATTTTACAAAATAACCCCAAACTAATGAGCGAATTGTTACACATAGTGCATGAGAATACCAAATAATAAGTAAAGAAAAGGAAAGCATTGAACACAGATCAACAAGATTGATTTCGACTCTGTATACATTTATTAGCAGAATAAGCTTGTTGATTTGCCATTAAAATACCATACTCTTATTTATTTCTACTATCGAACCCAATCAACAACAGTGTCTTATGCACACAGAAAAATTGTTTAATAATATAATTCGCTGAAGAGAGTGAAGCATCAGAATGAAGAAGAATGCTTATGATTATACGTACTGAAAACTTTTTTATTTTGTCTAGGAAGATCTAAGAATAAGCATTAATACGATAGATGAGATCGATTGGATTTATCGAAAGGATAATTAATTTTTCTCGAAAGATTAATGTCAATCATTTTACCTATTTCGTCATCACATGATAAACAAAGTAATTCGAGTGCTGCTGCATTTGCATCAACACGTGTTCGATAGCGATGTGAATTTCTTTCATATTCATCATTCTCTAAATCCAACAATTTCAATGCTATTAATTGTTGTACAAATAAATAAGTTGATTTTGTTATCGCTGATAATCGTTCTAGAAAGAAAAAACAAAATTCAATATTGAATAAAACAAAATTTTTGATTCTCAATTAGTTTATTAGAATTTTTAATTCTACGTATGACTGCATTCAAATAAACCTACCGCAACGATGGCGTTTTCTGCGGTCTAAATAGATTTATTTTTCGCTATTATTAAGCGAAACAACCCAAATTACAATTACGACTATTTCCACACTTACCATTAAATCTACCGAGTAATTCAAGATTATCACGAAATAATTTTATAATACATAAAATAAGTATATCACCAAAATATGTGTAAGGAAAATGACGTGTTGGAAATTTCGACTAAATATTGAGAAAATAATATTTTATTTTTCACTCGAAAATAAAATACATACACTTGATGAATATAATTGCGTTCGATTTACGGAATCATATTCCACCACCGCTACTTTATCCAAATATTTAACCACACGATTATCAATTAATTTTAGTGTCTAAAATTAGGAATTTTTCTTTTAAGAAATAAAATCCAAATAAACAATTAATCTTACTTCATTTAAATATTCTAATATAGGTACAGTAAGACAAACACGAAATCGTTCTGAATACATATAAGATGGTGCATTTATTTGACGACGATAGGTTGAACCAGTAACAGAAAAAAATAAACTATGTACTGGAATATCATTGTCAAACATCGGAAGATCATTACTATCCACCGAACTAAAACAAACAAAAAACAAAAATACAAATATTCCCAAAGATTTTCTTTTACAATCATAGAGCACAACCCATTCAAGTCTTTCTCAATCGAAATATACAAAAGCATCATTGTTTGATAGACGCACAGATGTCTCGAGCAAAGCAATCATGATAGGACTTTACAGCAGCAAATTTCCAGTTTTTTGTTTACCGTTCTATGATATTAAAATCGACGAGTCGAATACTTTATTTTTTTTATTCATGAATCATGATTGAGAGAAAAATTGATTCTGTATGACATTTTTCCCTTGGGAATTTATTGATAATAACTGTTGAAATTTAGTAACTTACGAAAGCGATCGATATGTTGATGAAAGATGATTAAAACTTGCTGAATAATCCTGTTGATCAGTAGCCGATAAGAAAAAGTTCGTATTGGAATGTATCATATTTTGTAGATTTTCATTGGTAGCTGACAGAACATTTTTCGTTAAAGCTTTTGGGATTATCGGACGAAATGCTATGGTGGGAGATTTCACTTGTGTTGTTGAATTGTTGACTGTTTCAGCTTGTTCGATATAAATAGATTGCGTACAAGGAGTAAAACTATTTGGAAATAATTGTGACATTAAACTTTGATCTGTGATTGATATTCTATACAAGAAATAGGCAACAATTATGTGATTATCTAATGCAAAACTTTCATATTTTCTCAAAATGAAATTTACCGTCCAATGGATCGGAGAGCTCCAAATAAAAATGGCACTTCAAACCGATAAATTGATCGGTATCTCTCTATAATGATATTAAAACAAATCGAAACTTTTTCTTTTCGAAATAAAACTTACCTTTCGAATGATCATACGCTGCTTTACGTATACTTTCAACTATTCGTCGAATAATATCAGCAACAAGTGCCATTATCTGAGAAGAAAAAACACAATTTTTATATTTGACACATTAAAGTTTCCTAATTACTTTATCTCTTATTTGTATATCTTCTGATGTTGAAGCTAATTCAGTTAAAGCTGTATGAAAACTAAAACTAAATACTTCTGCAGGCGGTAGACCTATAGAAAATAAAATAAGAAATATTCTTTGATTTGACAGATTCAATTTGTATCATTCTTTACTATGTTTATAATTATTTGATGCTACTTCATAGTACTTTGCGTTAGGAATTTCTTGATAAAAGTCCAGTAAGACTTGTACAATATCTGCTCGAACCTTTAATAAAAAAATTTCTTTCGCCGCTGAAAAGAATAAAAATGTTCGTACTTCAGATCTATCTGTGAGCTCAACAGCTAAATAAGCTAATGAGATAAGAACATTTTCTAAACGTTGATCAATAATAACTTGATGATCAGGTTGAATACGATCACGAATTTGTTTTAGCAATGAACTCAATAAACGAGAAGCACGCTGGAAAAAAAATGAATTACAAGATTATTTAATAGAAATCACCATTTTCGTTACTTGATTATAGGATAATAATTGATCGGGATCATTCGATTTCGATATCGAACGAACAAATGATAAAAGAATGTTGGTATGAGTTGATTCAAGTAGCATTATGAATAAAATTTAATTGATAATTATTCCTAACCAATATATCGCAATGTAAAATAAAAGAATTCTATTGAGCATCTTCATTCTTCAGTTATTGTTTTCTTCTTCTTCCTATTCTTCTTCTTGTTTCGAACTCATTGATGATTGATTGACTTTTTAGACTAATCAAATTTTTTTCTTTACCACTAGATGAAAATTTTCATCAATAACATCTGACATCTATGAAAACTGTCATCATATGAGAGTGTGCGTGTGTTTGTAAGACTGTAGAGTTAAAGAACAGCTAGCCACCTATACCCTTGTTCATTAATTGTGATTGCAATCAAATTATGGAATTCTAATTGGCGAGAGAAGTTGCCAGATATAATAAATTTAATAGGAAAACGGTAGATTATTTAATCTTCTATTAAATCATATCATCTAAACTACGGCACGAGTTGCTTATGAAGAAGTCAATAAAGAAAAATTCAACAAAAAAACCTTGTTGCCTTTCGTTCTTGTTATTATCAAAACATGTTTCAGATTGTGCTTCTCGTCGATTCTTTTTCTATTCTGTATGCTAGAAAATTCTTAAAAGTAGTGAAATTTATTTCACGTGAGAGAGGTTTATCGAGCTACCTTGCGTTGTGTAGACACTTCTTTTGCGTCTGTATTTGCACTTTCTTTTCTCTTCTTCCGAGCTGTTATAAAAGGTTACTATGGTAACATCAACATGAATATAAAGGTAACGAGATGAATACAAACTGCAGACATTTTTTCAAACTGAAGACATACGAATGGCTTGTTCGACGGATCAACATTCAAATGCTCGGTTTCTCGACCTCAATGAAGAGCCACACCAAGTTCTGTTGCCGATTCGTGGCTATGCCAAGGAGCCATTGTTGCCACTCGAAGATGCAATTGAGCCAATTAATGAACTGCTCAGTGATCTTGATATGATGGTGGATACGGCCAAACGCAACTCGAAAAAGCCGGCAGATGGACTAAGTCCCAACGAATCAGCTGCCATTCACCTTTACACAATGCAATGGGAAGAGCCAAATGTAAGTCTTTTTACTATGCTCAATAAGATACTGCGCTCTAAACGACGAGAACCGCTCAGACCATGGTTTCGTTATCTGAAGTTAGTTCTCACTGCATTATTCAAACTCCCGTCATTGAAAGCGACAATCTGGAGGGGAGTTCAGGGCAATTTAAGTGATCAATATGATGATGATCAAGTTTGGTGGGGATTTAGCTCATGCACAGAAAGTTTGAATGTGACAGAGCAATTCGTTGGCAAGTCAGGTGTGCGAACGTTATTCACCATTGAATGTATTAACGGCAAAGCTATTCGAGCCCATTCACATTACAAAGAAGAAAGTGAAATTCTTCTATTGCCTGGTACTTACTTTCGTGTTGTGGGTAAATCAAATCCAGCTAAGGATTTATACATAATTCATTTGCGTGAAACACCTGCACCACGTCAATACCTTGAACCACCTTTTACATCAACATCATCGGACTCATTCGTTACTACAGGACCAGCAACATCAACACCAACACCAACACCAATAAAGAAACCAATTTCAAATGTAGAAACTTTGCCAAGTTCTGCTGCTGCTGCTGCTACTGCTACTGCTGCATCACCCATCCAGACAAAGAGTAAGCATTTTTTTATTATTATTCTTAGAATCTTTTTTTGGAAAATTTGAGGGTGTGGGTGTTGTTCATTCCCTCATAGTCTTATCCACACCCACCCTGAGTATGGATCTGACAGAAATTACATTCACTTCTAAGGCACACATCTTCAATAATCTAGAAAGTAAGAAAATACTTCAGTGAGTTTTTGTGTAAAGTTGGTTCAATTTCACAATATAATAGATAACTACTGAAACTGTAAACAGCTATTGAGAACCCTTTATAAGAGTAATACACTTGCATATAGTTGTGCCATAGTAAATAGCCTGTGAAAGACACCAGAAGATCAGGTTATAATATGCAAAAGTGAAATTTGTTTTAAATACTTTCGAATCGAATAGATCCGAAATATTCTATATGTGAACATAAATTTCAAGTTTCCCATATACAAAACAGTATGGAGAACTTACTTTGAATTTTGGCAAATTTCGTTTAGAATATCAAGAATTCGCCCCACCCGGCTCGAAGAAAGAATTGCTTTAGAATGATTCGTTGTTGGTCTGATCATTGATTTTAATTTCATTTCGAACTAGTTAATTTAAACGGAGAAAAGTAGACGAACAAGGCAATTGTTATGAGTATTCATCTTTTGTATGATTTATCATCGCTAGAATATTAACAAAGCTTTCATTTTGCGGAAAGCATAATAAGTGAACAAGAGTTTAAGGGTCGTTCTATTTGGTCACTTATCATATGAATCTTGCCTCATTCAAAATAAAAGCTTGAATCTGCTTTGAGAAAATCAAGATAACTGAATAGATTCATCCTGAAGATTATTCGACTATCGAATCATGTGAATCATTGCACTAAATTAAACGCGTGGATTCATGTTGAAGATTTTTCCGAATGCAACTATTGTGCCAATTGCGGCAAATGCCGTTATGATCATTCGTTTTTCATAACACATTGAATGTATAGACGGACTACATGTCATTGCTTTGAACAAAAACTAACATACGTAAACAGTACATTGATTCAATTGATTTATTTTCTAGATCATCTGCTTTTTTGCCCAATAGCTAAACCATTATATTATGTAGCGCATACAATTGATGAATAAAATCGTTGGTACTATTCAAATCATTCATGTAGTATGTGAGTAGCGATAGAATATTGATTCAAAACAGTATTTAGAATGTAGACAACATAGGTTAACAACACATACAGGCGATCATGATCATTCATGTATCAGATGATTCTCAATAAGTTGATCTTTACTGAATTACTGGTTTTCATTTGCACTGAATAGATAAACAAAATCATGCGGCAAGCTGGAAAATGATGATGAGGATTCAGTTTTACTATAAATATTGAACACTTATACCAGCAGAAAAACATCTATCATACCAACTAATATAAGTGAATATTACATCCAGAATCAGAATGATTCATTGGTCAGCTAAAATTTGATTCATTGGGAAACTCACAATGTGAGAAACAAAGCGAATACTATTAATAAACACGATGCTTACAACAATCATGATAAGTCATTATCCTTAGTATTGTTCAAAATATTTTATTTTACAAGGTCTCGTTTTGATGAATGTAATATAGTTGAACATGATTGTTGGGGCGACAATGATCACAAACGTTCTACTGCTCCATAAATTCTATTATCTTGGCCAACACATTATTTTCCATCATTTACTATGACATTTTCAAAGATAGTTGAATAAGTTATTTGGCGAGTGATAGCTCATATATTATGAGTCCTTATTGAGACACACTCTGCTTGGGTGTTTTTGTTCCAACTGTATAAAATACGTGAACAAAATTTCGATAATAATTATTCACTTGATACGTGATCACCGATTAATATAAAGCACGGCTTGATCTTCATTTCATAATCCACAATGAAATAAACAGAATCATGGTAACAACGATTCATTCCGCATGTGACCCTTTTCTGCATAATAATACATCGTCTTTCCTATGGATGAAAAAAATATACAAATCAAACTCTGAACTTGCAAATCATTCAAATTTCCATCGACCAGTTCACAAGCTTCCATTTAAGTTTCAAAATGAGATGAAAGCATAGATGAACACGACTATTGGAATTATTTCAAGCCTTATCATCATTCATAAGTCATGTTATTGTCGAGTATCTATCATCGATGCACCTATTTTGTTTTTTGAATGAGTTAGAAATGAACAGAACTTTCGTTACAATCAGTCAGCGGATATGAAATAGTTGACTAGCTAACGTTATTGAAATATTGTTTCTGGCTCATTTAAATAAACGAACATGACATTGCTCATAGTCATTCACTTATCTTCTTAGATATATTCTACTCGCTTTCGGAAAAATATTCGTTTCAAGTAGTTATAATACATAAATGGGTGGATGGAAAAACATGTCGTTTGAAAGCATTTTGCATGTGATGTTTGATCAGCTGACCGAGTCGCAACCTTTGCTTCGAAGTGAGCAAAAGAGGTGAACAGAAGTGTTATCATTATAAGGAATGTTCGTT